GTTTATTTTCACACCCTTATTTGTTTAAATTATTAAATAATTTGCTTGAAATAAATTATTCAAGCTATACGATTTAATGTATTTATAGTATAATAGTAAACAAAATTTTATTAAAAATATTCTTCCATCGCATATCCTTAACCTTGATACCGTTATCATTAAATAAATGGAATAAGCTTAGATAAATAATAAACGCTAATTTTCTTCTCGTTTTAATTTTCAAGGAATATGTTTCGATCAAACAGATTTCATTCTGGAAATAGAGAAATTATTGAGTCGATTCCTTGGAGCAATATCATTCTTTTGACGAAATATAGGAAAACTTGGTTTTCACAGTTTCTGTAAAAAGTATGTTAGCCTTCTTGCCGCATTTTTTTCTTTTCTCTTTATCAAAATAAGTGCGGCAATTGCGTAATTTTTAATGAATTTTTTTAAAATCAGATGATTCTAATATTGGCACGGCTTCGGAGTCTTCTTTCAAATTTCAATTTTTAGTATTTCCTTCTTAACAAAATAAGGCATTTTCCTGATAACAAATTATACTACAATATCTTGGTAATCGCGCAAAAGTTAAAAATTAAACAAAATAGTTTAATGTATTATCCGGTAAAAAATCTACATGGTATCATAAAGAAAGAGTAAAAGACATAATGAAATAATTAGTGGATAGTTCTGTGAATCTCACGTGGTCAGATATTTAAAAATTTAATTTCACAACTAAGATGTTAGGGCATCTAAGACTGAGATATTTTAAAACGCCTAAAAATTTCGACTACGAATTTGACAGCTTTTTATGTTTGGTATCTTTATAGTCTTTGTGTAGTGATTTATATAAACATCAACACTATTTTAGATAATCTATGTTGAAGTCACAAGAAACAATAAAAAGACAATCAATAATTTATATTCTTTTTTCGAGAAAAATAGTATGCTTAGTAAATAATCAGCTGTTTTCCATCAAATAATTTTAAACAGCGGAATGTTCTTAATTCCTTAACAAGGTTTTTTTCTTAGCTAACAGAAAATAATTCTTTAAAAAAAAACTTGAGAATAATTTAAAAATGACCTTCACTTTAAAGAAAACTTAAATTAAAGTACTAAAAAAAAATTGATTTGTATATTAATGTAGAAATAATATACGTAGTAGGGTGAAGAATAAGATTTTGAAAAATTTAATTAAATACACTTGGTAATATACTTCTGCGAAACACTCCCGGACAGGTGATTAAAATTGTTTTTAATAAGATTAAGACGTTATGTAAGATGTTAAAAAATTTGCGATGATAAGAGAGATGCTTAAAAATGTTGACTACGTATTTTTATTAATATTTCTAAAAAGGAAACATCGTATTTTAAAGTTTGAAAGAAATACAAATATAAGCAATCGGTTATAAGCGAAAAAAATATGAATGAAATTTTAAGGTACGCACTCGAAGTCAAGTTCCGCGCATGTTTATCAAATTTTAACATTAATCGCCCCATTTAATTAATTCTTCATTGTCGCCAAATTATTTTTCTTAAAAATAATTTAAATTTTTCTCAGCTTCTAATAAATAAAAATAGTTTAAACTTTAGAAATTGAAAAATATGTAGACTAATATGGTATAAAAAATGCATACCTTATAATTCAATATTTTTTCATCCTCAATTTAATTGAATAATAAATAAAAATTATTTTTTTCATGAAATTATCTTTGGGTAAATGAGTTTTTTGAGTGGGTGCAATTTTTTTTGGAATTGCTTAATTAGTTTTTAAAATATGGCTGAAAACGCAAAAAGGGAAATTCATATTAAAGGAACCACATTTCCCAGATTGCGGCTACCCCCTATATCAGGGGTGGCGAACCTTTGTACACCAACGTGCCATTTTTTCCAAAATTTTTTTTAATGAGGTCATAGACGTGCCGTCAAATAATTTTGCTTTTGTGATTATTGAGAAAATAATAATACTAAATACTATTAACACAAAACTCTTTAATTACATTGAAGAAAAAAAATATTTTGCAATGCCTGTGACTTCTGTTGTTGCAGATTAGATGACAAATAACTTATATTAGGTTGTAAGATGTTAGTTTAAGCAGGACTGTTTATTTTTTTTGTTAGTTATTTATTGTTAGCTTGTTTTTTATGGTTATTAATTGCTTTTTTAGCATTAATTGTTAATTTTTTTCATTAATAATTGTTTATTATTTTGCGTGTTTTTTGTCAATTTTAATTTAATTGTTACATATGCTTCATAGAGTAATAGCATTTGAGTAATAACAATTCATAGTGTAATAACAAATGTGATCTGTGGCGTGTCAAAAATATTGTGTCGGGTGCCATAAATGGCACGCGTGCCATTGGTTCGCCATCCCTGCCCTATATTATGAAGATTAAGAATCCAAATATGTAAAAAAAAATGCATGTTTATTCAGAGAAAGTACGTTTTTGTATCCGATTTCGTAACTAAATTAATAGTTAGCACTAACAATTAGTATATTTGAGGTCGCCCCCAGAAACCATTAAGATTGACACTTAGTACGTGAAAATCCGATCATTAGAACGAAAGTTATTCAGGGTGATATCTTTTTTTTCTTCAGGACTGTACATTCTTCGCAAAGCGGACACACCCGTGACCAGGCGCAGACAGCCCTGAAACGTTATTTTCAATCTCTTCAAACTGGACACTACTTTTTCTACATTTAAAGAAACCTTTTCTGCTTTAAATTGTAAGGAAAAAAAGGATTCCGCACCATTTTTAAAGTATATAAATTTTTTGCCTTATTTTTAAGCTATTTCACTACTAAGAATCAATCCTTGCACATTCGCCACTGAAAATTTCTTTCCTTTTTCTTATATTAAATACAGTAATATGATTAATTGTAAATATATTAACTCCTCATGACTTGGAGCAGTGTTTCCCAAAGTGTGGTACGCGTACCACCAGGGGTACGGAAACAGTTTAGCGGGGGTAAGCGTTCTTATGCGAAATATCTTGCAACAATCGAAAATTTCAAAAACGTTTATTTAAAAACAAAGCTAGCCATGAAAATTTACAATTACGTATTTTTCTATTGGCTATTTTTTTGCAGAGTTAACTGTTAATAAATAAGTGGTGTCAACAGCCAGTTGTGATATTTAACTTTCATGCAATTTTTTTATAGTAAAGGTTTGTAATTAATTCTACTTATTTTTATAAAATATAATTTTTATCTATAATACGGATCGTTGGTTAGTATCTGCAAAACTTTGTACCAAAAAAGAAAAATAAACATATTTTTAAAAAAAATATATTAATTTTTTTTATTAGTGGTACACAGCGTTACGCAAAAATTTAGAAAGGGTACACAAAAGTTTGGAAAACACTGACTTAGAGGTAAGCATCGATTTTTTTTTGTTTTCTGTGAATGGCAGCAGCAAGGTTTAATTTCAAGGTATTTCCTATCAAGTGATGGAGTGATCAACCTAATAATTGAAACCAACTGAGGACTAAAAGCTCATATTCCGTATCGTATGACTAACTTGAATATGTCTGTTAAATGGGATAATTATTTTTATTCATCTTTTTTACACATTCTTTTTGTATAGAAAAACAATTTTTTCGTTTTTTAAAGTTTAAATAAATATACTTGGAGATAGTTACTGTAAATTATTTCTATATTATGGAAAATATTCCAAAAACAATTTACGTTGATGAACCTCATTTTTAGACTAACCATCCCGTAAAAGGACATTTTTTTCAGTCCTAAGAGTTTATTTAACTGAGGTTTCACTGTGTGTATAGATATATATATTTTTATGAACTTTCAATAATAGAAATTTTTTTTTATTAGTGCACATATCCTAATAATATTATTGTGGTTGAATGAATTGTGAAAACATTGTATAGAATAGTGTGAAAATGTTTTTGGCATAATTTGTGATAAAAAAAAAAAAAATCCCATTTTGAGAAAGGGAACATTAATGACTTTTTAAAATCGAAAATAAGCACAAAGTTTTCTAAGTATGAAATCAGATTTCTAAGTATGAAAATAAGTACTTTTTAAAAATGCTATGCACCCTGTAGAATAAAAAACTAAAATTCTCTAGAGTGAAAACAAATAATACTGCACATGAAATATATTAAAAAAAAATTTTATTTATATAATTCACAAATCTAAAAATTTGAAACAAAAATTTAAATCATTTACAAGTTCAGGAAGAAATAAAAATTTAAGAAAATAAAAGAGAAGATAAACATAACAATAATTGGAAGAAAAAAAAGCAGAAGATATGATATGAAATTTAAAAAAAAAAAAAAACATATCAATATTCTAAGATCCTAGATTGAGGGGAACAACAGCAGGGATGCCAAACTGGAGTAAATGAGAAGTTTTTATACTGCAGTGATATTAAAAAGAGTTAAAATATTTCATTGTTAATTCTGAATAATCAAATAAGCATCAATATATTATATATAGTTTATAAAAATTATACTTTAAAAAAAGTGTTTTATGCTTTTAATTTTCTGTTGTTTCCTTAAATATTTTAGAAAATATAATTTAGGGATGTGTGCCATGAATTTAAATATTGAAATATATAATTTGTCTGTATGTAAAAATATAAAAGGGTAAATAAATATATACATAAAATGAACCTTTTTCTGTAGATTTTTAAATCAGCAATTTCACAGTCGGTGCTTAAATCGGTAGTCAGAAGTAATTGACATCCCTGGCCATGCAAGACAACATTAAAAAAAAAACAAAGCGACAATACTACACTGATTAATGCACATTCACATTAAAAATCAATTATCATTTTAAAAACAAAGTAAAACCAATATTTTTTTATTACATGTTGCATCAAATATCATTGAACAATCCAGTATAACAAGCGATATTTGATATAAATGATTATAAAGATGATAGAAGACGTTTTCTTTTACAGAATCTTAATTGAAGTAAACAAAAATATGGTAACACATTTATTATATAGACATTTTCAAAAAGTAAAATTTTCTTGTCATTTTTCCAAGAGTATAAAAGCTAATTATGTTTATTTATGAAATCCAGAGTATTTCTTTTTTTGGATATCATGTTTAGAAAAGTGTCCATCCCATTAATTATCTATTTTTATATAAAATTTTAGCTACCTAATTCAGATATCTCTTATATGGACACCTTTCTCGCTCATCTTTTTGTGCCCATCAAAATCAGTATATTCTGCAACCATGTTTAAATCGAGCATACGTTAATGATCCATATATTATCTCAATAACTTGATTACTTTTTCTTAAAATATACATTTATTTTACAGCAAACAAAATAAAAATAACAGCCAACCTCTTATCTTTTTACATTAATCTCTATTCATATCTTTATTTATTGTTCACCTTACCATCATCAAATTTTGTCCTATTTCTATTAACTCCCGTTAAAAAAAAAAAAAATAATAATCCTATTTTTTTATTGATTTGGCAGAAAATACTAGTTATCCTTTTTTAAAAGAAAATTCGATTTTTAGTTTTAAAACTTAATTTATGAAATTAAATGGAAATAAATATTAATTGGAGGTTTGATTTCATCCCACTGATCTTTTCTCCAGACTGATTTCAGTCATCAGGACTGAACAGAGGCACCCCTGTACGTACTTAATGGCCATGAAATTATGTAATTTGTATCGAAAAATGGGACACTCATTTGAGCTCTTTTTTTAAAAAGCTGAATAACTTATATAAATGGATATTTATTCGCATCAAATAAGAATTAAGCTGAAAGCCAGTCAGAATTTGTTTGTTACAAAAACACAGATTTTCAGAAGAATTGGACCTTAATGAATCTTATAATTGTAAAAACACTTCTCAACATATTGACCAATGCAGGCAGGACAATATACTTATTACAGATTAGAATTTTTTAAAAAAAATATTTATTTTGTTGTTAGATTGATAAAGAATAATACAAAGATAGTATTGATTATAAGGCAGTGCAACAAGACGCAAAATATCGAATTTTTATATTACACATAGAATCAAACATTGAACGATGCAGTGTTTTGTAATAATTGTTCTTAGTATATATATATATTTTTAGAGTCTTAAAGTGAAAAGACTATATGACATTGGGGATAACATATTAATATTTCAATAATAAAACTAAAACCGGCATTAAACTTCAATCAAACTCTTTCGCCAGAAATGTAATCTCCAAAAATTAGTTTGAGGCTGAAAAGAAGTTCCTTATGAAAGACGAAAACATTTAAATAATAATTATAAACTTTAATTTTGAAATTAACTGAAAAATGCATACACTATGGACACATTAATGTTTTGCTTTTATGGAAGATGCAACTGCCATAAACACATACATCAAAACTGGTAAAATTTCATAATTGGAGCTTTTAGAGTAGTTTGTAAGTTTGTCAGCGAAAAAAAAAAAAACATTTTACAATTATCTCGAAATTTTTTTCTGGTACCAATTTAAACTTTTTTCTAATTGTTTGAATTAAGCAGACCTTAATTCAAGCAATTAGAAAAAAGTAAAAAGAAAAGTTTATAAGCTTAGTATTGATAAAAATAAAATATTTTCATCAAAATTTTTCTGTTCATAATTGTTTGTAAAAATTCAAATCGCAAATTTTTTTTAAAAGCTTTGATTCTGAAGTTTTAAAATAAGCTACTACTTCTTACTTGTCAAATAGTCGTTGAATTCGTCGAAAATCATATTTTTAATGGAGATAAATAGTTTGGAATTTCTTCCCTTTTCCTCATTGAAAAACAAAGAGACTGAAGGAAAGGTTGTAATGAAATGCTCAGCAATTACTGACTAATATGCTAAGCAATAAACACTTCTGTGAAAAAAGGTCTCTAGAAATGTTTCATCAATTTGGTCCAAAGAAATGACAACACAGTGCGTAGCCATATTATTCAACAAAAAATAAGCACCCTTTAAGTACTCAAAAATTTATGAACATAAAATCAATAAAATTAAAAAACTTTACATAATCATGATAAAATAACTGGTTTCTGATTAAAAAAAATTTGCATAAATCATGCAGTTTTTGTAATTTAGAACAACAATCGACATGATTAGGAAAGAAACTCTTTTCAAAAGATAGAAAATTAAGCACTTCTTACAAACCCCCAATTAAAAAAAAAAAAGCACCTCTAAGGGCTTTTTTAAAATGTAAATTAAAAATAAGCACTTTTTAAAAACACTACGCACCATGAAAAAGTAAATGCAATTTGTATCCAATAGAATTTAGTCAAGTAAACACAGTTCAACAGTCATCATTTCTGTTCTTTCTTAAAACATGAGCACAAGCGTCAAAGGGCAGTGAATAAACATAACATATTTCCACTCATACAGACATTTTATAATTTTAATAGTCATATGATTGTTTAAAATTTTAACCAGTTTCAGAATGAGGTGATACACACGAAAGCAAACTACAATAATATATATTTCACAAATAAAACTTACGAATTTAAATTTTTATTCGGTCAAACCGTTACTATTTACAATTTGACGATCTGTTATGATATTCTGAATTTTTCTCAAAGTCAAGTTAAGGTCTTCTCTGGATATTTTTGGAGGAGTTTCTTCCTCCGCTGCTTCATCATCTTGTAGTATGCGTTTGACAGCCTGTTTCTCACCCATTTTGACAAAATTGTTTAGAGCTCTTAATTCCTGAAAGAAAAGCCATTCGTTACAGATGAAGCAAAAAACAATATGAATTATAGTTTTGGTTCTATAAACAAGAATAGTGTCTAAAGACCAAATAAGAAAAGTAACAAAACAAACAGGTGGTTTAACCAGTAACTAATAAAATACACTTCCTCTTTCCCAACTGGCTAAATTATAGTTTCTCTACAGTAAGAACTCCCTATGCCATTCTTCAGGACCTGTGACGGTGACTATGGTAACAACTATTTCAAGTAGGGGTACGGGGTCACTGCTTAGGACAGGTTTTGGATTGGATCGGCGAGAAAAAGGGAATCTTTTTCTCCCCTTCTATTGTGTTAGTCCTACAATGAAGAGAAGCTCCCCTTCCTGAAATGCGCTATTCTTGTTTCTATAGCAGCAGACAACTTCAGACTTTGTAGCAGGGGGAGTTCTTACTGAAGACCAACTGTACTCTGTTTGTTTGGTTACTTCTCTACTGTCATTTGGTGTGTGAGGGAGGTTCTTGTTAATAGAACTACAACAGTATATCAATTTCTTTACCTTCACTTGTGCTGAATTTTAAAATGAGCCATTTTACATGACAAAATAAAAAACTTGATCGAAATTGTGTTCCTGAGAAATCAAATTTTGTGAGAATTACTTTTCTGCGCATTTACCATAAATTCATGTGACTTTAAAGACCACATTTTCAACAATTATTACAGTGTATTTTTTAGAAACGGTTTTTAAAAAACTTGATTTTTAAGTGATGAGTCACTTGGACAGCAGGTTACTGCATGCTCAAGTATTTAGACAGAGAGATAGACAATTAGAATACTTTTTTTTTTTTTTATATAAACATTGTTTTACATGCTAAATTATTTTTATCAGTTTACTTAGTAATATATTTCAATAAAATACCTTAATTAAAGAAGATTTATAGGGTTTTAAGCGATTGAAATTAAAACAACACCATAACAGTACAAAATAAGATCAATATTCAGTAGAGAAAATATTTTGAGCATTAAGACATTTATGTTAAGTAAATTATTACATATCACATATATTTAAAGGACTTTCTAAGCTAAAAAAAGTTCCAAAGTAAACTAAAAGCAATAAGCAGTTAAAAATGTATGCATACCCCTACTTCACAATACAGTAATAGACATTTCTAGGTACTTTAGACACGTGAATTTTAGTAATTAGTAAAAATTTCATTTTTAGAGAAAAAAGTAAACAAAAGACTGCTAGATACAGCAACTATCATGATCTTCAATTATGTAACAGACTATAATCTTCAATTATGCAACAGACTCATGAGGTTCATTGCTAACAGTTCAAAATATAACTCTTCCAAATACAGGAGCTTTTTATGACTATGTATCACAATAGACGTGTTTATGATTTTAAAATGATAAAATTAATCTATTTAATGCCTTATTAATTGGGGAAAATTAGGAGTTTCGTTTGTAACAGTTGAAAGTTGACTGAGATTTCTGCAGAGAGAGAATTTTTTCACCTGACTAGAAGCAACTAAATAATTTTTAAAGAGTCTAATATTATTAAAACTAAAAGAATGAACCACCTATTTAATAACAGTCGTTGAATAGCCAAGCCAATTTTTGGGTTCACAACTACATAGCCATGCAATTTTGAACCCAATCCAGAAGATAAGGGAACTCCTGGATCAAGTAATGGGAGAAACTTGCCTTCGTGGAGGACTTTTTGATGGAACTAACCCTAATATGCGTTACATGGAAAGGAACACCACGGTTAACCTGATGGCAAGGGGACCCATGACAGTTCAGCATTGTGGTCGGTGCAAGCCGAATGTGGAATTTGTATCGACCAGTAATCGTTGGGATTCGAACACCGTTCACCTCATTGGGAGACGAATGCTCTAATCCTCTGAGCCAGCGCGGCTCATGAACAACCTATTGCAAGAATCAATAAAAACAATCCAGGAAAGAAAAATACCCTTCACTAGCTTAAAAAAGATGGAAGCAAAAATTAACCGATTTTCGGACATCAACGCACCGTTTCAGTAAATATTTCTTAATTAACACTATGGCATATGTTTACACTAAATTTTCTTTTCTGCTATTTTCAAGGGTTTTAAAGAAATCTATAAAATATTAGTAATTGATTTTGAGTNAAAAAAAAAAAAAAAAAAAAAAAAAAAAAAAAAAAAAAAAAAAAAAAAAAAAAAAAAACTATAATAAATTTGATTTTTTTGAAAGTTTATTATTATTCTATTTGATTTTTGTGATGCACTAAAGTTGCAAGTTCTGTATATAAAATAAAAATAAAACAAGATTCATATTAAAAAACTGGATGTTCAACTAAATGATTTTTCATCATTGATTGGTCAACGGTGTCTACATACCAGGGTTCGCCAAGTGGGCCTACTTTGAAAAAACCCGCCCAGGTTTTATTGGGTGGGCCCACCATGAAAAAAACCCACTTGGAACAATAAGTGGGTTTCTTCAACAAAAAAAATCTTTTTTTACTAAAACTTATTGTGCAGCATTTACTTTTATATAATTTATTGAGCAGCATAAATTTGTCAAACAGAGTTGCATGATTTATATGATTAAAGTTTTAATATTAGTAAAGTAAAAGAAACTCGAATTTTCATATAATTTTATAGTAGGTACTATTGAAAACTTCAAGTGGGTTTTTTCAAAAAGTAATATTTTAATGATATTAAATCAAATAAAAATTTAAATAATATACTCTGAAAAGATCAATTTTTCAAATATTGTTGCATGCTTTATATATTAATAAACAGGTTATTATTATTAATTCATATGTTTAAAAAAATTGAAAAGAAACAATTTTTTTCTTTTTTCACCAAGTGATACATTAACAAATTTAAACAGTTTTAATTTCTGGCTTTTTTTTTTTAGAAAAAAGCTAAAACTTTTTAAAATTATTTATCTAAAAATGAAATCATTTTCCTAGGGTTAATTATTTGAAAACAAATCGGACAAGTAACTGATACTCTTTATAATTATACATAGTTTTAATTTCACTTTCTATTAATCTTATTATAAAAACATGTAAGACCATTAAATATTTATTTCAGTTTTTTATTCTAACTCAGTTCAAAACTCAAGTCAGATGAAATTTTAGTTTTTACTGATTATAAATATTTCAGATTATAATTTTATAATAGGTAATATCCATATGTTTAATAAATATAGTAAATAAATGTGTGTGAAAACAAAAAGATTAATAAACTTCTTCCTTTTATATTACTGCATTTATATTTTATAATTCCTAATTTAAAAAATTATGAAACGTAATGTACTTAACAATAAAGAAGATTCAAATATGCATTAGTGATAATATGTATTAGAGACATTAGTGATAATGCATTATTTAAACTTAATATAAAATACATATAACCAAGGTTCCCCAAGTGGGCCCACTTTGAAAAAAAAAACCCACTTGTTTTTTTTTTTAAAATTTGGTTCAAAAAGAAGTATCTCCTAATACTATCATTGGACACATCGTTGAAGTTAACAAATATTTTAGAAATGTGCATCAAGCACATGGAGGGGCAAATGAAAAAAACTGCTTGATGACCCAATGTTACTAGGTGGAATTCATATTGTGAGCACGTAAAAACTTTTGCCAACAATTACCATAAATATGAAGATTGTTCTTGAACATCAAAATGAATCTAATAATAATATGACAAAAATATTAAATAATGTTGGGCTTTACCAATAAACAATCAATTGGGAAAAACAGATATCAATTGTTTCTCAAGCTTTAAAAAAGCTTCAATCAGAAAACATTTCAATTTCAGAAGCTGTTGAAATATGAATTAAGTTACTATCGTGTGATGAATTAGAGCCCCATAAACATTTAGTAAAAAGATTCAATCAGACTGCTCAGCTACATCATTTATTAGCATATGCATCCAGGATCCCGAAACAAGGGAACAATTTTTAAATGATGAACAAGACCAATTAGCAGAAAACTGTCTTTCTAAGCATCATCCAGAATTTCTGCCACATGTTATGGCTTTCAAAATTTCCGATCCTGAATACTTTCCAAAATCAATGATGCTTGACACTGTTATTGAACAGTTTTCATCAAAAAATAGTGGAAAATTATGGCAAAAAAAATAAATAAATAAGTAAATAAATAAAATTCCTAGCTTCCACAAAATTTCTGTCAATTCTTTTTTCTTTGCACTCAGCACCAGCATCCTCTGTCTCTATCGAAAGACACTTTTCAACTTTCGGTTTGGTGCAGAGTAAACTTCGAAATAGATTAGGAATAGATAAAGCTACAAAACTCGTAAAAGTGTATCACCATCTAAGAGAGAAATGTAGACACTTTGAATCTGTTGTATGATAATAATAATAAGGGAAAAAATGGACCTTTTTTTTAAGTTAACTCTTAACATCTGCTGACAATTTTTAACTATTTGGAGAAAGTTTATCACAATTAAAAAACAGTTAAAAATTAAAATATTACTTTTAAGATTTTTTAAATATTATTTTTAAGATTTCATTTGAATACAATTTATTTTGTTTCTTTTAATCATGTTTAAAATAATGAAAGCAAAAAAAAAAAAATTTCTATTAAGTGATACATTAAACAACAATAAACAAATTTAAAGTTTTATTTTCTGATTTTAAAAAAATGAGCTATAACTTTTTATATATGCTTTTTTATAATTTTAAGATTAATTTGTCTTTTGAAACTATAAAGTTAAAATGTATATAAAAATGATATTTATCTAAATATTTTAAAAAAAGGGGCAAGTAACAGATACTCTTAATAATTATATGTAATTTTAATTTCACTTTCTATTAATCGTATTATAAAAACATGGAAGACCATTAAATATTTATTCCAGTTTAATTTTATAACAGGTAAAAGTCAGATGAAATTTTAGTGTTTACTTATACAACTCTATTTCATAAATAAAAATATTTTCACAGTAAAATTTATGAGCACTAAATGGAAAAACCCAATTTCCTCCGGGTTTTTTCAAATAAAACCCAATTTCCCCCGGTTTTTTTTCAATAAAACCCAGGCGGGTTAGGTTTTTTCAAAAATCCCCGGGTTTTTTCAAACCCTGCTACATACGCACCATTTTATTTCTGAAATAAAATATTTTTTATTCTCATAGCTTTTTTGTACCTTTATTAATATAATTTAAGCATATTTCAATGAAAATTATGCCACATTTTATAAAACTTCTATGCTTGGACTAAAATAGGTTAATATGGCTTGTTGAATCAGATTTTAGAATGGTAAGGAGCTGTATCATATGCCCATGGTTGCAAGAGAAAAATATGAACAAAATAGTTGCTTTTACTAGCCTAAAGCATGAAAATAGTTGCCTAAATAAGAACAAAATTATTTCAATAATATGACCAAAATTTTATTAAATGACTTAATTGTCACATAACATGATCCCTTTAGTCAAGTTATGCGGCAAATATGATAATTTTTATATAAACGTTAGTGTTCTAACACAAAAATTTTTATGTAAAAAAACATAGTATATTTCCTGAAAATTAAATACTTTTAATTTCTAGAATTCTTTAAAAAAAAATACTTTTTCGAAAAAGTTTTTCATCTTATCAAGAATTGATTTAGTAAATATATCTATTGGGAAAAGAAATTAAACAAATTCGAAATTCACAATATCGTATTAAAAATTGTTTTTTTTTTAAAAAAAAACTCATGCAGAATTTTAAAACAATAACCGTTAAAAATGCAATCGAGAAACAAAACAGACTTATAATGGAATCTGAGCAAATTGAGCTCATTAAAAAGTGATGACTCAAATTTGCAATTCAAAATTTTCAACATATTTTATTTTCATTTCAACATATTATACATAATTCATTTTGTATAGAAGCTCCCACGGGCCACAGGTTGTCTACCTAGTTTACGCTAAAAAACATGGCTAAGAGTACAGGAAAGTCTCCAATTCCTAATAAAGTTTTAGCCTTTTCAGGCAAAAAAGTTGTCAGTCACCCCAGGCCGAAAATAGTTGTACATAGTTGCCTGTGGCAAACCTGTATGTCAGTTTACAACCTAAATTGACACACACATCAGTTTAAAATCTAACATAGGACAAGCAAATAGTGATTATCAGCAACTGAAGGTCACTTTTTTTTTAAGTTTAAAATACACCCAGGAGATTTTACTCTGAAAATTACTTTAATCCATCTTAAAATTTTTCTTCATTTCAAAAACTTTTTGATAATCAATTCAAATTGAAATAAATAGATTAAAGACTTACCTTAGCAGGACTTCTGTTGAAACAGCAAGAGAGCGGTGGTTTCCCAGGAGACGGGGGGAAATTGGTGCTTATGAGTGGAGCTATGTATACAGGGTGCTTGCTGGAAACTCTTCGCCAAGGTGATGAGGGGTGAGCATTCAGTTTTGGCAGAGGGGACAAAGGAGGGGATTCCAGCTACAAAAATAAATATTATGAAACTTTGAATCCCGAAATTCTGATATTGGTTCAACTTATTAAGTTTTAATGCTTATCAATAATTAAATCTTTTAAAATTTTGTGTTAATATATAATCATAAAAATAACGATAGAATTCAAATTTTTTGTCATTCCTTGTTATATGACGTTTTAATAGATCTTATAAATTTTTGCATCGCTGCTTTCAAATCTGCAATCTCTCTCCAAGCTATAGAATTTAAAATAAAAAAATAATTAATGTACAAAAATATTATATATCACATGTGTCGCATAATCAGGGTTGTCATGGTTTGTTTTTACTGGTATTTACCAAGACTTTTAGTCTTGGGAGGAACCTGTTTTTCCCATGACTTTTACCGCCCAAGAAAAAATTTTCTTCCCACAGTATTAACTGTTTTGTAAAAAGAAAATTTTTTCCTATCCTCAAAATTTCGCATTGTTTCTGCTATTTATGTGAACATCTTAAAAGCATACATAAAGGCAGTATTGAAACAAGAATTTAGAACATTTAAAACAGTCTCGTATTGTAAAATCTCAATACAATATATGATCATTTAAGAACTAATGTTTTTAAAAACTTTTGCAAGGGTCCAAATTTTTAAAAAATACTTTGTCCTGATTTGCTCTTTTAACCTTTTTTCTTGATTTTTTTTTTTGCCATAGAACAATATTATAACTCTTTTATAATACTCAATATAACAAGTATGACATATCACGAGATCCCGTTTAAAATGCTAATAACTAAATTTACAAAACTACATGTTTGTAACTAATTAAAAATTATTAGCCTTTTGCTATTGCCACAGTTTTATTTCCATGTTTGTGTGAGCAATATTACTCAAAATAGAGATAAACAAAAAGACTTTTTTTTTTTAAATTTCTGGTATGAATAAATCTGGTAGATAAGTGAAAAACAAACATAATTCCACTTAGTTTTCTTCTTACAATCTTAAAACCAAAATGTTTAAGTTGCAAACATTCGTAGGCAGCCACTAGCTAAGTAGTCTTAATTCCCAAAAGAAATACACTTCTGTTATTTTTGGACATTTTGTTGCGTACTGCAAAATAATGCATTTTTACTTCGGTTGATCCCAATCTATCATGTCGCCTATTTTACACATTATAGCCAACTATTCAGTGTAATCAGTGAAGTCAAAAGACATTGCACTTCATTTTATTTTTTGCTCACACCCTGCAAATATTTTTTATGTTTTGGCAATTTGCTGTTAGTTATTACAGAGTGCGTAGCCAGATCTTTCAATAAAAAATAAGCACCTTTTAAATATACTTTTTAAGCACTGAAAAAAAAATAATTTAAGCAGTACATACATTAACAAAATGCAAAATAATTTTAAAGACGTTACATAATCATGATAAAATAATCAGTTTCTGACAAAAAACTCTTTCCTTGATTATAATAGCCACCATAAAAAGATGAGTGATTTTTTGGTTTGACATCAGAGGGGAAATTANGGGGGGGGGAACGAAGCATGAAATTGAGAATATCTTGCAAAATACAGCAGAGTTGCATACGAGAGAGCAGAATCTCACAGAACCGAGCTCAATAGACGCACATGCGGACTCTCCCAAGTATTGCATCAAACATGTAAAATGATTGGTGTTTTCATAAAGCTATGGACGGTAGGATGAATTGGATTATGGTTGAATGAATTGTGAGATCGTTTAATAGAACAATGTGAAAAGCATGCTTTTGCATAATTCGCGGCGAAAATCGACACGGTAAAGAAAATGAAGCACTTTTTAAAAACACCCAATCAAAAAAGCACTTTTAAAAAACAAAAATTAGCACCTTTAAGCACTTTTCAAAAAGGCTACGTGTCATGCATTAACTTATTAGAGTTTTAATTCTAGTTTAAGTGTGAGTGTAAGAGTATACAGAAAACAATAACATTTGTTATTAAATAGGTGCGCTTGCTTATAACTTACTGTTTTTTTTTTATCATCCAAACTTGTATTTATGGCAATCAATTAATTTCTTAAAAATTATTAAAAAAATAACGTTTACGTCAAATGAGCATGTTATGATCGAAAACAATAGAAGGTTAAATATATTTTTTTGTTTAGTTTTTATTCTCAAATATGCATATGCTGAATTTTTAGTTAAAGGATTTCTTAAAGGCTTAATTCTTAGCAAGTTTAATAAAAAATTATTTTTTAAGTTTGGTGACGACAAAGTCAGTACTCTCAATATTAAAATATGATTTGAACTTTCATATATTTTTTTTTATTGAATAACATCATTCTGAAATAAAATAAAAAGTTTATTTAATTTTTGAAATAAAATTTTTATATAATTTTCGAAATAAAATTTTAGCTCATCAGTTTTTACAAAGTTGAGGGAAAAACAGCATTTCATTTAGCAAACTGTAACATTAAGATAGATGTTTAGTTTAGTACATTATAACTTAGTTGGTTTTTCCTNTAATTTCTTAAAAATTATTAAAAAAAAGTTTATTTAATTTTTTAAATAAAATTTCTATATAATTTTCGAAATAAAATTTCAGCTCATCAGTTTTTACGAAGTTGAGGGAAAAACAGCATTTCATTTAGCAAACTGTAACATTAAGATAGATGTTTAGTTTAGTAAATTATAACTTAGTTTGTTTTTCCTCTTGCTCTATATTTTTTAAAAGAATATTTTGCACTAAAATATTCTTGATTTGGTCTAGTATTTCTTTTGCCTAATTTTCTGCTGAAACTACTATGAGGCTTTTTTACCATTTTTTTATTATTATTTAATAATATAATGATTTATAAATTAATCTATCTTTTGGTCAAAATAAAACATTTCTGTATTTAATACATTATCAGCGGTTTTGACAGTAATATTGACCGTGGTCTTTATATTAACATTTTAATTCTAATATATGCATCATAATCATTTTTGTTATTTCTTTGTCTTTTGTAATCAAAAATTAATTCACTTGTCTTAACGATTAAATTGAAACATTTTGATCGATGCATCAATTTTATTTCAACCAAATTAAAAAAAAAAAAAGAAAAAAAAAAAGAAAGGGAAAATGTATGCATAGACAAATTAATTATTTTGCTACAAATCTGAATTTGTAACAAAATTCCAACTCACAGTTAAATTTTATTAAAATGTACAACATGGAGTTGTCTATAAAAAATAAAAGAAAGAACATGATTTTTAGAGCAAACAATCTAATAAACATTCGCAATTTCAGATTTAATTTTTTTTTTTTTTTTTTAATATTAGCTAATTGAAATTCTTGTTGAAGTCAATCAATGTTAAAATTCTTTATTCCCAAATAAGAATAGAAAAATCAAGAGTATTTCATTCCCCCTTTAATGGGGCGAAAAAAGCATTTTTTGAAACTAGTTCCGCAAAGTAAAAAATATCTTACGAGAATTTCTGCAATAAAGAAATGAAAATAGAAAAATCATGAGCATTTCTATCCAATCCTATGCAAGAGAAAAGCACCGTTTAAATATAATTCAGAAAAAAAAAATCTTTCAAAAATTTCTGCAGAGAAGAAATTTAAAATTTTTTTACATCCAAAAGGAAAAATCAACGAGGAAAATCAAAGAACAAGGAAACAAAAGGAAAGTCAAAGAAACAAAAAATAAGCACCTTTTAAGCACTATATGCATTGACAAAATGCAAAATAATTGAAAAGACTTGAAATTATCATGATAAAGTAACTTTTTTCGGATAGGCTTCAGAGGGTGGAAAATGAAGCCCGGAATTGTGAATATATTGCAAAATGCAGGCGAAAATACAAATGATTGGTGCTTTCATACGCTATGGACTGACGGTACGCCAAAATAGCTTGTGGTGAATTGTGAAAACGTTGAACAATGTGAAAAGCACGCTTTTGCATAATTTATGGCGAAAATTGACACGGTGAAGAAAAAAAATCTCACTTTTGAAAAAAAATAAAATAAAATTACGCACTTATCAGAAATGACAGATGATTTTTAAAAATAAAGTAAGTAGGGAAAAAAAGGTCTGATGTCCCTGTAATTTATAAGATAAAAAATCATTAAACTTGGAAACAACCAGTACCCTTGCCATTCATTCAGTTTTATTTTTTAAAAAAAAGAAATTAAAATAAATAAAAATTTACAAACCCCGTTGTTCGTTTGAGAAAACTTGTAAGCAAACCTTTGAATTCTTGGCACATAGACCTAAAATAAGATGAAATATGTTAAAATATCTAAGATAAAAAGCAATATGGAAAACTTAATCACTTAACAAAATAAAATAAAAATTTAGAGATATACCTTATAAAATTAATATTTACTACGTTTATGAATCTGATTACTTTTACTCAAGCAAATCAATTTTTAAAATGGTTTTGAACTATCAACTTTCATTTAACGTTTGATGCAAAATATCTCACTTTAGTGATCTTAAAAGCTTGAGTCTGATATAATTATTATGTAAAAAAATTCATTCTAAATAACTAACTATAACTGTTGACAAGCAACAGATTGATGTGGAAAAATAAAGAATTTTTAAATGGATAAATAATAGAATGATTTCAAATCAGGAAAAACATTCTCACCTAAAACAGACAGTTAATTTATTTGACAATTTCTTGAATTACAATTTGTGGAGGTCCTACCAAGACATTTACACAGGGGTAACTGTGAGCCTAAGTAAAAATCCTGAAAATTTCTTGAGTAAAATCGTCATTTAATCATGCATTTCAAAAAATTAGTCTTTGTAAACTGAAACCATTGCTATTTTCAAAACATGAAATTGCTTCATCTTAAAATCAATAGCATGTTTGATTCAATATTCATCAGGCACAGTCGTCATACCTTTGCACACACTAGTAATAGTATAAATAAACAATTGACTAAAACCGGATCTGTTTATATTGCTAGCAGCTTGCCAACAAAGAATGAAAAAGTCTTTCGTAAAAATATCGTTTGCCAGGAAAAATTTAAGTTTCGGAAAAATATACGTTCTTAACATAACCTGCAATGAAACATAAGTTGAAATTTCTGGACCTTGGAGCTCCGGATAGCGGTTAAAGAAAAATCCGGATTTTTCCGGAGCACAATCATCTCTGTTTGCACACAAAATAAAATTATCACCTTATTGTAGAACTTTATTAAATCTCCTCTTTCTTCAAACTCAAAATGAGTACCCGTTCCAGCAAGTTTTGTGGGTGTGGGCGGTTGACTTCCCGGGTGAGGCACCGGCAAAGTGCTAGACGAGCGAATAGTGCTGAGGTGTTCCGTCCTTTTTGATTCTAAAATAAAAATTAAACTAATTATAAAAAGGTTATTTAATGGGTTAGAAATAAAACTTAATTTGTTCACTTAATAGAAACAAATAGAGTTGTCTCTCCTTATATTGGACTCTGAGCGGACAAAACAATTCTCAATGCATCAACATAAGTTATCAAGTTGACCAAAGAAATATCTAGATTTTTTTTTGGCAACAATAAACATAAATCAGATTACTTCTAAAAAAACAAACAAACAAAAAGTATAATTAGCTGTACTTAAGCATAACTGAGGCAAAACAGCATTAAAATATGCTGCATATTTATAATTTCAAATTTACTTTATTCAGAGTCCCGAAGATAATTTTGGTAAAATGAGTACCGAACAAATTATAATAGTTAAATACCAATATATATAACCAGTATAAATGAGTTGATACTCTTTATATCAATATTTATTCAAAATATGTAATCATATAATCAAACAATAATTAAATAACTTCCTTAATCAAACAATTTTATTGTGTTCCAATACTCTCAAAAGTGCAGTGAATATGTTAGGTATCTCAAGGACTTTTAAACAATTAATTAAAAGGATAAAAAATTGTGGTTTTATAAGACTGGTCACAGGATTAAAAGGTCTCATTGCACAATAGTATACCATAGTATCAATTCAGAGGATGCTGTAAAATTAGATAAAACTTTTCATGGCAAATTCTCCTTCACCCTATTAGCATTTTAAAATTAAACGCATTGTAAAAATGAAGTTAGTTAACCTAGAGCAGGGATGGCAAACCAATGGCACGCCATATAATATTTTGGTCACGGCACCGATCACGAAGTTCACTGTGAAGCAATTTACCAATTAAATTAAAATTCACAAAAACAAACATAAATTAAATAAACAATTATTAACAAAAAAATTACAATTAATACCAAAAAACAATTAATTACCATAAAGAACAAGCTAACAATAAATAACTAGCAAAATAATCAACAGTCCTGCTTAAAACAACATCTTACAACCTAATGTAAGTTATTTGTCATCTAATCTGCAACAACAGAAGTCACACTGATGTTACATTACGTAGAATTACGCGTGTAACTGAGACATTGCGAAATGTATTCTTTTTCATAGTAAATTAAGAGTTTTGAGTTGATAGTATTTAGTGTTATTATTTTCTCAATAATCACGAAGTCAAAATTGTTTGACGGCACGTCTATGACCAAATAAAAAAAAATTTTTTAGAAAAAATGGCACGTTGGTGCATAAAGGTTCGCCACCCCTGACCTACAGTAAACCATGGAATTTTATGTGTTTGAAATATTATTTTTTTATATAACAAAATGCAAACAAATTACGACAGAATAACTAGTCTGCATTTCAACATTTGAAACTTCATTGCTTACTCTAGGTTTACTTGACTTTATTTTCTCATTTTTTTCAATATGTTAAATTTTGAATTACTTATACAGCCGTAAAGAAATTTCAGGGTTGCCACTCAAATCCGGGAAAAAAATTCCCTGTGTTTTCCCTCTACATATTATGCACAAGAGGGAAAACACAATCATTGCACTCTTGTATGAGCTGTATTGGGCTAACTATATAAGTTTTAATTGCTGAAAACACTAGGAGATAAAAGAAACAGCTGAACATACTTAAAACAAATAATGCTGTAGTAAACGAACTAATTTAATATAGCTAAAATATCATCCTTAATTATCACATAGACTGCATTTTGAGTGGTTACAATTTTTTAATATAAGAAAATAAGTAACAAAATTTCCTGTATTTTCCGAGTTTCTAAAGAAAAACTCAAAGTTCCCTGTTATTTTAGGCGATTTTTAAATTCCCAGTATTTTTACGGTTTTCACTATGGAGTGGCAACCCTGAATTTGGTGGTATAGCGACCTCTTAAAATGAACTCCAAAACTTGCATTTTGAAACAAATAAATTACAGGGGAAAAAATTCAACTATTGCAATGATATTTAAGGAAAAAAAATAATTAATTTTATTTTATAAAAATATTACTATTTCTGAAAGATTTTACAGAAATAAAAGTAGAAAAGGCACCTTTGTCTTCACTAGTGTCATTTTTAGAGTTTTCAGACGGCACTGGAGAATTCGAACCGGACTCGTCTTTGCTATTGTCACTACTGCCTGAAGTTCGTCGCTTTTTATTACTTTTGTTAGCTAAAAGAACACTTCTGTAAACCTAAGCAAAAAATGATGCACACATTAATTGTAAATTCACACATACAGAGAGTGACAATCAATCACCTATAAACATCCTTTAAATTACAGATCACATAGGACATAAAATATTTAAGCAATACAAAATTTTAATGCATTTATTGTAACTATGATGCCCAAGAGCCGTGATGGCTCAGGGGAGAGAGCGTTCTCCTTCCATTAAAGTGAACCAGGTTCGAATCCCAGCAATGGCTGGTCGATACAAATTCTGCATCCTGTTTGCACCACCTACAATATCCTCAGTAGTAAACAGATTATGGGTTAGAGTCCCCTTGATGTCAGGCTAACCAAGGAAGGTTTTCTTCTTCATGTAATGTTAATGTGGGTTAATTCCATCAAAAAGTCTTTCACGAAGGCAAATTTTTCCGGAGTACATGATCCAGGAGTTTTCTTGTCTTTTGGTTCAAAATAACAAGGTGACGGAGTTGAATATTAGTAGTCATAAACCAAAAAAAATTGGGTGGGCTGTTCAAAGACGATTATAAAATGTAAAAAAAAAAAATTATGATGCCCAAAAAAATAGCAAAAGCATATGCTTAAAATTTTACAAAAATATGAATTTAAGATCTGTCCAACACCCTTTGCAGCATGCTAACAATTTCTGTAAAACAATCTTATATTTCAGAAATAAAAATAATTATAAAGGCATAAAATAGGGTTCTTCCTTAAAGTATTAAAAAAACTTTCCTGATAATGTAGAACAGGGGTTTCTAACTTACATGAGGCCGGGGGCCACAATTAAAAACACAAATCAAATGGAGGGCCGCAGCTTTATCAAAATTTTATGCAGGACTCTTTTATGTTTGAAGGAACATTAAATATTACCATCAGATTTTTACCAAGTTGTACAAAACAAAATGATTGAATTACAAATTAAAATAAGAAGTAGATTTTTAAAAATATTTAATTGCATATCGAAAAATTCGCGCTACAATAACTTTGATGTGCGCCCATGTATTAAACAATTAATGTGCAACAGATATCTAATTGTTAAGATATAAAACTTTAAAAAGGTTGGTATTGCAACTTACATAGTAGCACACAAAATGTTCAATGACGAAATTGAGGTTTGTCTGCTGCAACCACCAGAAAATAGATATTTACAAATTTCAAATGTGTGTGTAAATATTTTCGTCCAAAAATATTATGATTATTATTATGATTATGACCAAAAATATTATTTATGAGTGGTTTCAAAAAGTTAAATCGGAGAATTTCTTCGAGAAAATTTCTGATACACATATGCTAAATTATATTCACAAAATATGAAAAAATGAAATAAAAAAGAGCAACATACAGGATTATTTTTGCATTTGAATAAATATTTTCTTGGATGCAAAACCTGAGAAATAATTTTTTTTGCACCGTTGGTATGATAAATTTCACATAAACGAGAAACGAAGAAATTAGATCTTTATTAAAGAGAAAAGTATTTTAAATCCATATAGAGTTTTTACGAAAATTGTTCGCAAAAAATGACAACTAATATATTTTAGTTCGTGGGCCACAAAAAAATGGCTTCGCGGGCCAGATGCGGCCCCTGGGCCGCCAGTTGGAAACCACTGATCTAGAACAACAAAGTGAAGTTGCAGACCATTTTAACACAAATAATATTTTTAATATCAGTAATATGATAGGAAAATNGTATTATATTACCTGTTTATTAATATATAAAGCATGCAACTATAGTTGAAAAATTGATCTTTTCAGACTATATTATTTAAATTTTTATTTGATTTAATATCATTAAAATATTACTTTTTGAAAAAACCCATTTAAAGTTTTCAATAGTACCTACTATAAAACTATATGAAGATTCGAGTTTCTTTTACTAATATTAAAAACTTAATCACATAAATCATGCAACTCTATTTGACAAATTTATGCTGCACAATAAATTATATAAAAGTAAATGCAAAACAATAAGTTTTAGTAAAAAAAAAAAAATTTTTTTTGAAAAAACCCACTTATCGTTCCAAGTGGGTTTTTTCAAGGTGGGCCCACCCAATAAAACCCGGGCGGGTTTTTTCAAAGTGGGCCCACTTGGCGAACCCTGGTTAATTCCATCAAAAAGTCTTTCACGAAGACAAATTTTTCCAGAGTACATGATCCAGGAGTTTTCTTGTCTTTTGGTTCAAAATAACAAGGTGACGGAGTTGAATATTAGTAGTCATAAACCAAAAAAAAATTGGGTGGGCTGTTCAAAAACGATTATAAAATGTAAAAAAAAAAAAAAAAAATTATGATGCCCAAAAAAATAGCAAAAGCATATACTTAAAATTTTACAAAAATATGAATTTAAAATCTGTCCAACACGCTTTACAGCATGCTAACAATTTCTGTAAAACAATCTTATATTTCAGAAATAAAAATAATTGTAAAGACATAAAATAGGGTTTTTCCTTAAAGTATTAAAAAAACTTTCCTGATAATCTAGAACAGGGTTTCCAACTTACATGAGGCCGGGGGCCACAATTAAAAACACAAATCAAATGGAGGGCCGCAACTTTATCAAAATTTTATGCAGGACTCTTTTATATTTGAAGGAACATTAAATATTACTATCAGATTTTTACAAAGTTGTACAAAACAAAATTATTGAATTACAAATTAAAATAAGAAGTAGATTTTTAAAAATATTTAATTGCATAACAAAAAATTCGGGCTACAATAACTTGGATGTGCGTCTATGTATTAAACAATTAATGTGCAACAGATATCTAATTGTTAAGATATAAAACTTTAAAAAGGTTGGTATTACAACTTACATAGTAGCACACAAAATGTTCAATGATGAAATTGAGGTTTGTCTGCTGCAACCACCAGAAAATAGATATTTACAAATTTCAAATTTACAAATGTGTGTGTAAATATTTTCGTTCAAAAATATTAATATTTATGAGTGGTTTCAAAAAGTTAAATCGGAGAATTTCTTCGAGAAAATTTCTGATACACACATGCTAAATTATATTCACAAAATATGAAAAAATTAAATAAAAAAGAGCAACAAACAGGATTATTTTTGCATTTGAATAAATATTTTCTTGGATGCAAAACCTGAGGAATAATTTTTTTTTGCACCGTTGGTATGATAAATTTCACAGAAACGAAGAAATTAAGTCTTTATTAAAGAGAAAAGTATTTTAAATAGATATAGAGTTTTTAGAGACCCCGGGCTGCCAGTTGGAAACCACTGATCTAGAACAACAAAGTGAAGTTGCAGACCATTTTAACACAAATAATATTTTTGATATCAGTAATATGATAGGAAAATATAATACAATAGACTTACATGACTAGCAGCTTGTGGTTGTAACCTATAATGTTTCATAATTTCTTGAAAACTTCTATCTTCTTTTGTAACCTATAAATTAAAGTTGGGATTTTAATACTAAAGAGCACAAAAAATACATTGCCATAATAAGCATAAATGATTAAAAAGCAAACACGAATTTAATTCAAAATTAAATTACTTTGCTGTGTAATGTGATAAAAACTATCACCAAATCACATTATTATTTATTCATTTTTCTTAATAATTTAACTTCATTGTTGACAGTGAAATACCTAATACGCATCATAAGCCATGATGACTGATTAAGATGTATTTTTCTTTTGCATAGCACTGTGTGTGCAAGATGTTATTTCCTCAAGTTGTATTTTAATAAACTCTTTATTTGCTGGCATTGCTTCTGTGTTCTTCAACAAAACAACAGTTTAACTAAATAAATACAGTAAACTTGATATTTTCATAAATATGATTTAAAAAAAATATTTATTCATAATCTAAGGTGCAAAAGGAAAAAGTTTTTGGACGATTGCATGTTAACCCCTTTTTTATGAATTTCTTCTTTCAATTCTTCTTATTATTTCTTACTTGTTCTGTTTTGATTAGTTAAAAAACAATACCATATTTATTCATATTACTAGCAAATTTTTGAATCTGGCATTTGATGGAATACCTAGGCACTGTATAGAATGAGAAATCAGCAAAATTTGAAATACGTCAGTTATATAGAACATGCCTCGATATTTCATAGAATTCCAGTCTTTCAGGAAATATATATATTTTACATAATACATAGCCTGGGTCTGTCTAGGTTTTTTTTAAGAGGCTATGGTATTGTGGTGAGTAGGTACACTTAAAGTATCAGAAGGTTTACAGGTTCAACATTAAGATTTTATTAACCACATCACAAACATATACGCTACGGCAAAATAATAAGATTATAGAGAGATAGGACTACACGCCCGTTTGCAATGAGTTTTAGCAGAGAAAGATACTGTGTTTGGTTCGGATCTCACCAGAGAAATGAATTAGCCACACCTTTAATGTGCAATGATTGGCTAGATTTAATTTGAGAAATTATATTATTGGATTAGAATTTTGACAGACAGATTTTAGTTTCAGTTCCTAATTTTGGGTTTCAGTTTCACTTTATGAAAATTGTGATAGATGCATAAAGAAAAGGGAAAATAGTTATGGGTCACCAAAAGGCATTTATTTTGTGAAAATTTAAACATAATTTGGGAAAATTAAAAATTTTATTAAAAAATCAACCAAAAATATGGTAAAATAATAAAATGCATTCAAAAATAATTATTACAAATAAAAATCATTTAAGACTGGTAAATTTCTATAAATTTATCCCCATCTATAAAAAAAAATTTGCTATTCAAAAGTTTTGGACTTAAAATTGTATCAAAATTTAATAAAAACATGAATTTAATAGTACTAGCACTAAAAAGAGAACATTTTGACGGGGTCATACAGAAATAAATTTCACAGAGGAAAAAATATTTCATAAACAAATAAATGTATGCTAGAATAAATTTAAAACAATGCGTATGATAATAGTTCAAATTTTAACTTCCTGTAAAAATTGCAGGGGGAGAGACTCGTTATTTAATTTTAAAAAACACTCTGTAAAAAAAAAGTTTGCCATAATATGGCTTAAGCGGGGAAGAAAAGTGCTCTTTTTTCTGTGGGAAGCGAATTCTTTTACTAGGTCATAATAGCAATACACGGCAGGGTTCAATCGAAAGTCAAGATGTGTATTTAACCCGGGAATCATTGGTTTTTACGGGGACACAAAAACAAAATTTTAAGAGGCGGGGAGGAGACTCTTAGAACTTGTTTTTTAAAAAATATTTTGTGAAATTACCGTTCTTCCTTAAGTTAATTTTTTTACGGTAGTAAATTTACCCTGGACAGACCCTTGCATACACAAATAATAAAAATGAAAAATAAGGAAAAAATATCCATAAAATAAGAAATAAGGTTCACATTCTTCTTATATCACTTACCCACTTCTAAAAAAAAAAAAAAAAACTATAATGTAGGGGTGCACAATCTTCTTGAGTGAAGGGCCATTTGCACAACAGGTTGATTAACGAAGGGCAGCACACATATTTAGTCGTGTTAGCGGCAAATATGATAATTTTTACATAAACAATAGTGTTCTAAGCACTAAATATTTTTATCAGAGCTCATTCTAGGCAGGGTGAACAGGGCGCAGCACCCTGCTGCCCTTTTAGTCAAAAGAATCCACCCTGTTGCCCCTGAAGTAAATTAGTGCCCTGATGTAATGGACTCCATACCCTTTTTGCCTCTTCTTTCCTCAACCTTTATTTTTTCCTTTATCTCTACAATGGATTTCTTAAACTTTTGTTATTTTTAACTCTTTTTATTTAGTTTGTCATTGCTGTCAATACATAGATTTATATGGGAAAGGAGAAATAGCCATCACACCCCCTTGTTGCACTTGTCCACTATCAACTTGATATATATGTTAATTTATTAATAAAAATAAGTAATTAATATGATTGCTTTGAAACTTTTAGTAAAGTAAAAAAAAAAAATATTCTTTTACTAATTGAAAATGTTTTTTAATAGAAGGTGTAAAGCACATAGAAGGAAATTATTGCCTTTTCAGAATAATATTGCCCTTTTTTTAAACTTTTGCACCCTGCCCTTTTTTCTGCCTAGAATGAGCTCTGTTTTTATCATTAAACTTAATAACATAATTGCATCAAATGAAATACTTTTAATTATTTAAAGAGTTTATAGAGTAATATGAATTTGAATGAAATATTTGAATGAAAAAAAATTTATAACGTTTAAAAAATCCAAATTAAAATGCTTTTTTTAAAAAAATTTTTTTATTGCGTTCAGAAGTTCCCGCAGGCCGCATGCGGACCACAGGTTGTAAACCCGTACATTAAGGTAAGAAAAAAGGCTTACGTTCTAAATAGCAAATAATAGAATATAATAATAATAACAATAAACAATAGAGAGAACAATAAAATAAGAAAAATGTTCCAATTCAATCGGGAAAAGGCATTAAATGACCCACTTATGAATCACAATTTGAGAAAAAGAGAATTGTTTTGAAAAACGAATAACTAACAGAAGAGAAAATAATATTTTATCTAAAAGCAAAACAAAGGTGAAAAAGTAACTATGCAATTACATACATAAAAAAATAAGTTACTTACTTTACAAATAACATAAACAGCACACATAAGCAACTGATCCAGATGGCGATCGGTCATCAGTTCAGTATGTTGCATTATAGAATATTCAAAACAAGTCCAAATCTTTCGCCTTAATTCTTCATCCAAAATTGAAAGTTTATCACACAAGTCTTTCAATCTCACACCCGCCAAATGGTATACCTAAAATATTGAAAGTAAAGCATTGTGAAATTTTATTAAAATTATTCATAAAAAAGGTTTTACATCATTCTGAATGTCTAACAATTTAAGAAAGCTTTCAATCATACAAACAATACCAATGGAAATTTTGTTTATTGTTTTTTACTTTGACTACTTATCAGGAGTATATGATAAGCTTCAGAAAAATTATCTCTTTTAGGGTACATAGACAAATCTTTCAACAAAAAAATAAGCACCTTTTAAATACTTTTTACAGGGATGAGATTAGGCAAAAGGCAAAAAAGCTGAATTTCCACGATAGTAAATTTTGCGCAAGCNCTCAAAAAATATTTTTAATCACTAAATACATTAACAAAAAGCAAAATAATTTTCAAAGACTTAACATGATCATGATAAAATAACCCTAGTTTCTAACAAAGAACTCTTTTCCTGATTATATTAGCCACCATAAAAAAAAAATTAAAAAAAATCGGAAGATTTTTCGGGCTCGATTACAGAGGGTGGAAAATAAAGCCCAAAATTGAGAGTATCTTGCAAAATGCAGCAGAGTTGCACACAAGAGTGCTAGAATCTCACAGAACCCATCCATTCAGGATCACAAGCACACTCGCAAACATTTCATCAAACAACGTAAAATGATACACTGCAGACCGACAGTACGACGAAATGGATTATGGTTGAATAAATTGAGAAAACGTTGGCCAGCACTATGTGAAAACCACACCATTTGCATAATACATGGCAAAAATAGACATAGTAAATAAAAAGAAAAAAAATCCAATTTTCAAAAAGGAAATATTAAGCACTTTTTTAAAAACCTCCAATGAAAAAAAGCACTCATAAAGGCTTTTAACCTATTCTCTGATTATCGCGAGTTAACTCGTATGTATATATATATTTTATTTATTATTCTCAGTAAAATCGAGCATAGCAGAATTCGCCAATACTCTTTGTTTTATCACGTTTTTATTCAGCCGGAAAAAAAAAAAAAAAAAAAAAAAAAAATTATAATAATCTGCTGTGATTGAAAGTTTGTCAATATTTGTTTGGGAGTTTTGCTATTTGTGGGACTGCAGACGTGTTTTGTGCAATTGTATAGACGATGGTGGATGAATTTACATAGAAAAGGAGTAAAAAAAATGACGTTCGCAAGCCAAAGTGATGCAGACGATTTTTCAGATGATGAAGATGTGAACATATACAAAAACTAATATATTTAACTTTTTTCATTTGACCGAGATAATTTGGGAGAGTAAACTGGTGGTAAATTAAATATTTCTTGCACATAAAAAAATTAAAATTTCAACTTAGAACCTGTGTATTATGTTTTGTTTTAGTTCTTTGTAGTTATTAATGAAATAAAAAAATATTTTGACTTTTTTTTCTCCAAACAAATTGGTAAGGGAGGCAGTTAAAAAACAAAAATAGAAAGTCTTTAAGTATTTTTTAAAATGCACCATGTCGTTGTAAATACCAACTGTTTGAAAATAAAACTCCAAACAAGCATTGTCTGCATTTTTTTAAAAGAAAAAGTAAGAAATAGGAGCAAACCTTTCTGAAAAATAAAGCAAGTGAACCAGTTCTCTTAGGCTTAATCATTGTTTCTGAAGGTGTTTTGGGTTGCACAGATTGAGAAGATGTTGAGTTTCCAGCTAATGCTTGCACACATGTTATCCCATGATTGGGATTCCTGGTTAAATAAGTCACAGCATTATCAGTCACAGCTAAAGAGAAAATATTACATAAGTCACAGCTAAAAATTACAATAAAAAACATATAAGCACTGCATAAACAAATATATTTTTTTACTCCTTTTTTAAAGGGATTATATTAACAGAAAGTTAGCCTTATCCTGTAACTGTCACATTCTTTTCCCTGCTAAGCTCAGAAAAGCAATCAGGTTATACAACAAATTAAACATTTGTGCATCCTAATAACGTTATTTTCAATTAAAGATCATAAATTTAAACAGTGGAGTGATTTTTATCAATTGATTGTCAAAGTATAAGACTCAGTCAATAAACAAAATCTTTTCGCAAAACCCCACAATTTTGCAGGTGTAGTCCATATGCCTAGAAAATACTAAGTAGCACTATCAATACATTTAAAAAAAGTGAAAATTTAAACTATGAAGCACATGACCAGCAGCTATATTGAGCAATTAAATTTTTTTTAAATTCAATTTTAAAGAGCGTATCAGTTTTACGCAAAGCAAGGTGAAAAAGAATTGATGAAAATGTATAGAATACAATGATAGGTTCTCACGAAATCTTAAAAGTTAACTTAAAAGTTATGCCATAGTTGTTTTTCCATTATTTGGTAATTATTCCAGCAAATCTTAAAAATACACATAATACTAACATTTAAATTTCAAAACTTTTAAATTTGTTTAGAAATTAAGACAGCAATTTAATAAAAAAAAAAACTTGGATGTTTATTTTTTGGGATATAAAAGAAAATATAGCTTCATGAATTTTTATGCCATATTAGTTAAACATTTTGAGGATTGGGACATAAATAAAAGATTTTTTTAATGATGTTTTAGCAAATAATTGTCAGATTTATCTTCATTTTTCAAGCAGATTTAAACTTTTTTTAGCTATGAATTATAACAAAAGGAAATCAAATGAAAGCTTTGAACAGTATGCTTTTGCAAGGTATTAATCAGTTAATTGAATTTTAGCCTTTACTTCAAAATAAAAAATAGATACAATTTTAAAAAGTGCAACTGTATTACGAAGTTATACTAGTTAGCAGAATGTGATTACAGATATACATCTGGCCTTACCATTTACTGTAATTGCATGCTTTTATTGGTACTCCAAATATTTAATTATTATTCTGTATTCATCCGCCATCCAAAATATCAAATTATTCAGCTGACCAAAATAATTCCTCATTTTATTTAGAAATAGTTCATTTATAAAAACTAAAATAATAAACTTTTAAATTATTTCAGGTAATTTTCAGAAATCCATGGAGGAAAAAAANAATAATATATTTAAAAATATTTATCACCCACATAATTTCTTTAAAGCTCAACAATCTTCTCTACGTTTAAAAATTATTCCAGTCAGTATTGCTTATTAAAAAAAATTTCACATTGCACCCACTTCGCATAATGCAAAACCTAACTGGATTTTTGCAGATATATTCCAGGAATAACATAGAAATGTTACTAATGTGGTCATCAGTTTTTAAATTAATTTTTGGTAGTTCTTTTGGTACAACATAATTTAGTTCAGAAAAAACTTTTAGAAGTAAAATTATAATATTTTGATTCTCATTTGTCAGCAACAAATATTTCTTTTGTTAAACTCCATATTAGTTTTAGAAAAGTATTAGTAAATTTTTTTCACTTCGTTTTTTTAATTATAAGTACTTAATTGTTAAGATTAACTTCAATAAAATAATTTAAAAAGTAAATAAGTTTTTGTTTATTTATTCATCATTTTCGAATAAATTAGTCTGCTTTCTTTTAATTGAAACTTAGGAATTATTTTATTTAGAGGACTTGAAATCAGCATTGAGATATATTTGTTCCTCTTTTCATACAGATATTTCGATCTTTCTTAAAAAAGTTCGTTTACGATAACATTACAGACCTGCCAACCTTAGAAAGTAAAAAAGCAGGAAACTTTTTCTGCATCACGACGTAGCGCAATATTGAAAATTAAACCTGATTCACATTTCCTACAAGAAGTTTATTTCAAAATATATTATTTACATTACATAAAATAGATCACAATAAGATTCTGACAGGAGGGTGAAGATTTGAGACGTAAGCAGGAGAGTTGGAAGGTCTGACTTTAGCTCAGCTAATGAACAAGGAGCGAGCAAAAAAACTGTATAAGAAATTCTGGAGTCATCTAGTATTAAAAATACACTTTTTCCATTTTCTGACAAATTTAAAAAAAAACAATCTATTTAATTCTTTATTTTCAAAACGGCATTTATAAAAACATTTCTTTCTCCTAAAATTACCTGATAGTTAAGCTCTAAGTTAAAGACTGAGAAATAAATAAAATTTGACAAATTGTCAAGATTTAATTTACATAAGTTATTATTTTTTTTATAAAATATGATAAAATATAAGCTATTTAAAATTTTGTCTTTCTAACAGGTTCAAAACTTATTTGCAATAAAATAACAAATATAATAATGATAAAATATAGATTTATTTATTGACTGAGTTCATTTGTTCCGCTCATTCCAATGGAAACTTATCCTTAAATGGATGAATGCATTTATTTACTTACACTGGAGTATTATAGTGACATTTCGGGCAGCAGTGACAGAGTTTGATTTATCATTGCCAACATGATTGGATGTTGGTACAGATGTTGTGGCAGCGAAGAGTTTCCTACGAGCACTGGACATAGCAGCAGGAGCTGGAGACTGAAAACGCTCACTTAATCCAATTGGTGATTGAGGATCTTTTTTAAGAAAATAAATATCATCAACACTCTTAGTTTAATATATTAAAAAACATATTTTTTAAAATTGACTACTAATTATTAAAAATTACATTGACAATAAGGCCACTTTTATAAACAGGTTAATTAGTATAAAATCAAATGCTATGTACTTTGAATTAATTAATAGCTGCCAACATGGATAGAAAAAAAAAATCAAGTAAATTTTACGAAATAATATAAATTTCATGATAATTGTTGCAGAATGTACTACATATTTTACACACAAAAATGCTATTTTAATAGGGATTTTGTTTAGGAAACTTACTCAATTTTAGGAAATTTTCTAAAAATGTGTTAAATTCAGGAGAATTTTAATAAAACTAGTAGATGAGAAGAAACTAGCAAAATTCAGTAGTCTATAGGAAAATCCAGGAGAGTTGGCAGATATGCTTATTACTATTTATGATTAACCAAGCTTTCTGAAATTAGGTGACACCAAGAAAACTCTGCAATGTCATGTTCAAAAACTAAATACTGAGTTGTAAATTAAAATAACATTTAAATGAAAAGACATTAATAGCTATGATTATAATTATGTATTTGCTAACTATTGCTGCAAATAACTAAATTTAGAACTAAAAGGAAACATTTTTAGAGAGTTCATTCTTTAAAATTTAGAATTCATTTTTGTTTAAAACTAGTTTTGAATTTGGTCTTCTTATTTAATTAAAAATGGGGCAAAAAATCTTTTTAAATAAAAAATCATTCTTAGAAATGGGTAGCATATTTATGTGATCGCTCAATTAAGGTGCATAAAATTGTATATTTTATTTATTACAACAGAAACAGTTAATCAAAATAAGAAAATTTTTAAATTGTGAGAAAAATGTTTCTAATTAGCATATTTAAGGAAAGTTTTTTACCCTTCACAGACTACAATTTAGTGGATTTCATCAGTTTTTTTTTATTAACACATCACATAAAAACTATATTTAAGTGCATAATTTTTTTTTTGTAGCTCTTAAATCAGAATGAAATTTAGGGGATTGACTTACACAACTGTAATACACATGAACTAGAAGATGTATATTTCCAGAACCTACAGATCTTGGAATTAAAAAAATAACAAATCTTGCCTAATTTTTTTATATACAATATGTAATATGACAGACACAGTCAAAACCCCTGTGGCAGAATTTTTTTGAGGTATGTGAGACAAATTTCTCTAGCACTAATATCTTTCTGCAAGATACTTTTAATAGTAACAAACATAAATGTTACTAATTTAAAATAACAAGAGCTGTGCTAACATAAAAAAAAAAATATATATGTATTTTNGCTATGTGCGACAAATCTCTCTAGCACTAATATCTTTCTGCAAGATACTTTTAATAATAACAAACATAAATGTTACTAATTTAAAATAACAAGAGCTGTGCTAACATAAAAAATATATATACATATGTATTTTTTTATTTGAACATGTAATTCTTATTCTAATATTATAGGTGATATTCTCGCATTCTGTTGGGATGGGAGAAAGCACAAATTATTTCCTTCGTATTTTGTAAATAATCCTCACAATAAAAAAACTAATTAAAAATCATGAAATTCGTAGTAGTACTTGCCGGAAAAAAAGACAAGACGACGAAATCACGTGAATCGGACTCCTCTCAATTGCATGTTTTGTTTTGAGATAAAGCTGTTGTAATAAATAATATCGGATTTAAAAACAAAACAAAAAATCAAAAGCAACTGCCAAAAATTTGATAGAATCATTGCCTTAAAAAGTAAATACTCAAATGCACAATTCAAATTTCCATATTGTTTGAAATATATCGGGATAATGAAACCCCCATTAAATTATCTAAATGCACGATTCAAATATTATGTGTAAATTTCTATTTAAAAAAAAAAGGAATTTTTTTTTTTTTACTTTTCAAAAGAAAAATCTTCCTGCAAGAACTCTGTAACATTCTTTGACAATGTTGATGCAATTCTGCCATGGGGGTCAAAACATATCAAATTTTTAATCAGTACAGCTTTTTTTTTAGAAAGCAAAAACATCTCACTTGCATTGGTTTTCATGCAGCATTGTCATTGTTTGAAAAATTTTTCTTTCTGCCTCTTTAAACAGGGAGTATAGCCAAATTTTTCAACAAAAAATAAGCACATTCTAAGCACTCAAAAAATATTTTGAAGTACTATATACATTAATAAAAAGCAAAATAATTTTCAAACACTTTACACAATCATGATAAAATAACTAGTTTCTGACAAAGAACTTTTTCCTTGACTATATTAGCCATTATAAAATGAGCAAGAGATTTTTCAGTTCGATATCAGAGGGTAGAAAATGAAGCCTAAAATGGAGAATATCTTGCAAAATGCAGCAAAGTTGCACACGAGAGTGCAATAATCACACCAAACCCAGCTCAGTAGGAGCACATCAACCATGTAAAATGATTATCGCTTTCAAACGATATGGGCCGTCAGTACACCGAAATGGATTGAGGTCGAGAGAATTGTCAAAACAATGTGAAAAGCACGTTTTTGCACAATATGTCGTGTAAATCAACATGATGAAGAAAAAAAATCTAATTTTCAAAAAGGAAAATAAAGCATTTCTTTAAAAACACCCAATAAAAAAAAGCACCTTTAAGGGATTTTAGAAAGCAAAAATCAAAAATAAGCACTATTTAAAGACATTACGCACCATGTTAAACTTAAGAGCTAAATTTAAACACAATACTGAGAAACACAGGCAAAAATAAATAAAATATATACTATATATTATTATAAAAATGAATATTAAATTTTAACATAGAAGAGTGTATGTACTTTTTTGACCACAAGTAACTCTGCGAACAGCAGGATGAGCCAGAGGCGATGAGACTAACTGAGATGAATTAGGTGGTCTTGGAAGAGAAACCTGTAATAGTTATAACTTAATACTGAATGTTTGAATCACTTTTTATAATCACAAAGAAATAATATGACTAAAAAAGATATTAGCCAGTTTCACAGAAAAAAAAGTTACATACTAAGTTCTTCATTACAATCACAACAAATATTTTACTTGTGGAAGATGTCATTAGAATCTACAGGGATGATTGTGGGCCCCAACTCAAAAATCCTGAAAACTTCTTGCGTAAAATCATTCAAAATATCTTTATAAATTTAAATCATTGATATTTTCTAAATATGATATTCTAAATGAAGTATATGCAACATAATTTAAATGAATAATTATGTGTAAGTTTACTTTTATCCCTAATCACATTTATTATTCTATCAGAAAAAATATTTACAAATTAAAGAGATGCCAAGTATAATTTCTAGTTCGAATATTTTTCAATAAAACATAAAAGAAGTTTTAATTAATGTGATCGATGAATTCTTGAATCGCGGTTTCGCGAAAAATCAGGAAACCCAAATTTTTTCGGACCACAATCACCCCCGATTCTATTAACCCCTGCGGCAGAATTTTTTCGGGCTTTCTGCGACATATCACTCTAATAATAATATCTTCCTGCAAGATACTTTTAAAATAACAAATATACATGTTACTAATTTAAAGCAATAGAAGCGTCAAAGAAAAAAACTCTTTTAATTGAATATGTAATACTAGGACGCTTCGCCCCCTGCTCGCTGGCGCTCGTCAACCCCCGGAACTGCTTACACAGTTCTTTTCGGAATGTTTCGCAATCCAATGCTCGCTCATTGGATACATTCTTAACGTCTAGCTTTTGTATACTTTTTTGAATACTGAAGTTCCGAAAACTTTTCACTGTAGAAAATTCTAAATCATGATTTGCTAATATTAATTTGAAATTGCAAACAGTTCACATATTTTTCTTAATCACACAATTCTAAATTTCAGTTGTTGAGAAAAGTAACTGTTGTAAGTTTTGTTTTAAAGTCTTTCCCACTAGAGGGCTAAAGCCATGTGTTGTAAAACAATATGAAATAGTAGTCTGCCACTGAATGCCGGATGTAAAGCATGTGCTTCGATGAAGATAATTTTGTATTTTTAATTCTCTAAAGGGAGCCACCCTAATAATATGGAATTTGTAAAATAAATGTATATATTTTAGATTGTTGATGAAGCCCATCATTTTGTGTTTTCATCAGAACAATTATAAGTTTTTTATTTTATCACAAAAATATAAAATGTATAAAAAACAAAGAAAAGAGTAAGAAAATGAGTATAGTCATAGAAAAAGTTAAAATTATAATATAGTATTTGTCAGTTAAAATAAAACTTTTTGTTTAAGTCATTGCTAACAATTCAAATTTCTCCGAGGCAATTCTAAAGTATAAATTAAGGTAGTATTGTTAAGTTGAAACACAATATTTTTAGTTTTGATGTCAACAATACAATTCAATTTTTCACAAAAACGATTGTTTCCATTGTTAAGTTCAATGTCAACAATTCAAATTTTTCTGAGGCAACTCTTAACCTCTAAATATTATTTTTTTTATGTACACATTTCTAAATGTCAGTATTCAACCACAAAACAACTTAAAGTCCTCAAATTTAGCATGAAGTCGTAAAATGTAATGAAAGAGGGTCATAGCAATAATGTAAGTAGGAGTAAAGTTAGTACTGCAAAATTAAAACAATATTTTTAATCAATGAGCCAAGTTCTTCAAAAAGCAGTTGTAGAAGTACCTGGATAGAAGTTTTTCTACATAAAACTTTTTACAGAATTTATTTAAAAACACAATTGTTAATCTGGGCATTTGGCGATACAACACTTATAGAATTGAAGGATTTGTTACGTCAAGCGCTCATGAATCTGAATTAAACAACCTGATAATGCTCACTCTGGTTATTATTTCCGTCTTTAAAAGCGCTATATATTGAGCCACCTCAACTATATTTGCCATGTGACATTTTTAGCAGCAATCATTGGTCGATTTTCTAACATTGCCATTCGGGGAGTTGTAATGAGGCTTTTTTTTGGTGCCGTGTAAAGCAAATATATATATAGATATTTTTTATTCTAATATTATGTAGATATTCTTGCATTCTGTACGGGGAAAACATACTAATTACTCCCCCCCCCCCCCCCNCCCCCCCCCCCCCCCGTCTTTTGTAAATCATATCATCATCACATCAAAAAACAAACAAAAAAATCTCGCTGGCAAAATCATGCAAATTGGACTTTTCAAAAAGGGGTTACTAAATGTGTGTTTTCATTTTGAGATTCAATTGTTGTAATAAATAATTTAGTATTAAAAATATTTGATTTTAAGCTATGTGGAAATCAATAGTAATAATTGCATAAAAAATAGAACAAACATTTCTGCAGAAAAGAAAACCAATTTTTTTTTATTCATTACTCCTTATTTTTCATTATTCTCAAATGAGAACAGAAAAATCACAAGCATTTCTCTCCACTCCGGTGAGCGAGAAAAGCATCTTTTGAATATAATTCTGAAGCAAAGAAAAATCTTTCGAAAATTTCTGCATAAAAGAAAACCTAAGTTTTTACCTCCCAAAGGAAAAATCCTTCTGCGTGAAATCGGTAACGTTCTGTGACAATGTCTCCGTTCTGCCACAGGGCTATTAACTATTTTATTATAAATTAAAAATATACTCATAAAATATTTTTTTAAAAGGTGCATTGTGATTATTACAAACACAAGAAAGTTTAACTAAAATAATTAAAACAAGCATAAAATTTAAATGGACAAAAATAGTGTCTTAATACTCAATCTTCCACAGAATGTGATGAAATAAAAAAAAATTAACAATGATAACAGAAAAAAAAATGTGAACATGAATATTTTTAACAAAGTATGTGAATGAATAAATCTTACATCTTCACAAGATGGTAGATTCAAAGCAGATGAACGGGTATCTTGTATTGCATCCCAGAGAGCAGATTCAGATTTCCAGGCTAAACTTTCCAGAATCTGTTCCTCAATCTGAAAAGCAATTAAAATTTAATTTTTATTTCTCACACTCTTTATTTATTTTGTTATCCATTTCTTTAAGGAAAAAAGTATATATACACATACAGTCGGACATCTATTTATCGAATTCGCTAAATCCCGATTATAAGTTCGTTACATGGAAAATTTTGCAGATTGTTTGCGCTTCACACAATAATCTCCCAAAACAAAACAAATTACTTGTTTGTTTTTTTAAGTGAAGAATTACATATCAGTATTTAAAATTTTGTAAACCCTTGTATTTGCACTTTAAATAAGCATATTATTTTTTTTCCTTCTTAAAAAAACTTAAGAAATGGAAATAAAAACAAACCATATGCCAGCACAACTGTACGATCAAATAAAATTCCATACACTGTACAAGTTAGCAGGTATGTGAGATAAGATTGTACGTGGATGTGAATTAGTTAAAAAAAAAACTGACACAGATTTTATAAGACGACCCCTTAATCAAGATTTACATTGGATCCAAACCTGGGCAAAGATGGGTCTGTAACACATATTTAAAACATTCTGTGAAGAAACATAAGATAAGAACAATTGATTAAGAGAATATTTAATTATGGTTTATGCACAGGGTTGCCACAGTAAAAAATGAACAAAAACAGTTGCTTTTAGTTGCCTAAAACTATGAAAATAGTTGTCTGAACAGGAACAAAAATTTATCAAAAATAGTAAGTTATCAAAAATGCATTCCCAGATGAAGAAGACACTAATGATAAATGGTTTTTAATCAATTAAATGGGGCCCCTTCTGATTTTAAAGGTACTGAGATGTTTTTAAAAGCAGCGTAAATATCAATGTATGGTTCAGCTTATCCATCGTACATCAAAAATCCAACCAGAAGTGAGCTAGTGAAAAAATTTGTAACATCAAAAGCATTAAACAAAATAAATGAGAATGCGTTATGTTTACCATGTTTTCAAATAAAAATATAATTTTTTTTCTTCCAAGTATTTATTTTTTACATACTTGTGAAAACTACCCTGTTTGTAGTTAACACGCAAAGTTTGCAGACAGATTACGAAATTCTAAGAGCTTGTTGCAGACAGCTACAAAACTTTCTGCCACTGGGCTCAAAATATAGTTTTTAAAAATAAAATTTTTTTTTTTAAATCATGAGTATCAATAAACTTGAAAACAAATTTAAAAATCTTCATTAAGTTACAATTACACATTCAAAATTGCACAAACATTTAAAATAAATTTTTAAAAAGTTTCGATAAAAGCTCTAATAAAACCTAAAATATTGCATCGAATTACTTTATCCTACATTTACCTTGAAACAGAAAAATCTTGCAATTTCAATTGTTAATAGACTTTTTTTTCTAAGTTTTTAGCAAAGACTTATTTCCCGAATTGAGTTCAATCCCCTGTTTAAGGACAAAGGCAAACTTACATGATTTAAATGCTTAACAACATCTCTGGATAAGCCATCTTCTGCTCTTATGAGTAATTCAATTACTTTATAAAAGTAATAAGGTTGAAGATTGAATATTTGCAGCACCCAAGGAAAAGACCTAGTTGGAAAAAAAAAACATTATTTGCAACACAAAACAAAGAAAATTATTAAAAAAAAAAAAAAAATTAGTAGTGAAATGTTTAATTTACCTTTGAGAGTTGTAAGAAAAAATAACTATTTCTAAGCAACAAGCAAACAGTGAACGGTGAAAAGGATCAAGATCCAGCATATTCTAAAAATAAAAAAAGGACACAAAGAAAAAAAAGTAAATTTAAAAACATCTTTGAAAAAAGAAATTCATGCTATAGTATAAAACATTGAGATGGCTTCAGAAGAAGTAACAACATTTTTCAAGTTTATATAACTTACTAGAATAATTTAAGTCACTACTAAATAAAGAACTCCATGCACTACTCTACCTCTACAGATTACTACTCCTCATCCCTATAAATATGCCCTTCTTGCATTTAATTTTGTCAGGTTGTTTTCTTAACCACCTATGGATGGTGTTTTCTACACTAGGGAGCGCTGCAAGCGCTTTACTTCTAGATTAGTGTCTTTGGTGTGTTTTGAGGCCATTTGGCTCAATGATCATTGTGTTTTAAGACTTTCTTGAGTAATATTTTTTGTATACATGTGTTTGTTACCTGATTTATCATTCGTGTTTAAAAGAAGAATTGTTACCTGAAGACCTGTCATTTCAAGGTTGTCATTTAAAAAGAGAATCATTACAAAACACTTCTTACTTTTTTAATAATATAACTTCGAAATTTAAACCAAAATGATAATTTGTAAAAATTTCTTAGGCAAATAAGGAGAAATTTGAGAATATACAGGTAAACAGGAGATAGTTGTAAAATACAGGAGTCTTCGTTAAAAAACAGGAGACTTGACAGGTATACGATTGCAATTTTAATAAAATAGCTTAACTCAAAATCAGCCTATCTACATTTAATCTACTTAAAAAAAAAAAGAAAAAAAAGAAGATTAGAACACTTGGCTAATGTAGATACTAATTTTATAGAAATTCTATATGCTAATAACAAATATAAATGCATCAGATATGGTAAAAGCAGAGCACAAAAACAGAACACATCACACTAAATAACATTTTATCTAGTGATCATGTAAATTCAGGCACACAATCTCAATGAATTGAAGAGCTATGGGTTTTACTGGGTAAAACCCACCCTTAAGTGGGTTTTTCTAAAATTGGTTTCTTTTTTATCCTCTGCAGAGTTCCCACTCAATTTTTTAAAAAAAATTCAAGAACTTTTCCATGACTTTCAAGGACCTAAAATCAAATTTTTCAAGGACCTGTTTGGTATTACAGTTATATGCTAAGTACATGTCAACCAAACAATTACGTAGAACCAGAAATTGTTTATTTTTAATGCTTATTTGACAAAAAAAAAATAATAATAATTTTTTTATTAAATTTATCAGCTAATAATACAAATGGTTGATAGTTACATTGCTGTTTCAAATCACTTTAAAATATTCCGATTGACAAAAAAAAGAAGAAAAAAAAATCCAATTGACATACAAACGATACTAGCCAACATTCAAAAACTAGCATCAGTGAAACTCTTTGTGAAAAATTAAATGAAGTGAATAAGAATTAATGAATAATGCATACTACATTAAACAAGCACAGTAAATAATTGATAATGTTTGAGTGATTGTATGGTTATTACAATATAAATACTTTTTTTAACATGTTAGGTTACAGGAAATGTATATAATTAGATAAAATATCAAAATATATCCATTTAACATATCTTTTTCAATTTTAATAACAAATTATCTATTTTGCTATTTCAAAATATCACAGTAATGTATTTTGAACATATAAAATTTATTATAGGATAATATTTTACAGATAACTAACTAAGACTGACCAAGCTTTATTTTCTTTAAAATATATCCATAAAATGTGAAGCATTATTTTTAAAATTTTGTGAATCTGTGTAATTTTCACTAAGCATAATTTTTAAATCGCATTTATACGAATCTAGATATACTATATGTAAATCAAAATTATAAGAAAGGTGAAGTAAGTCTCGAAGATTGCATAAATTACTTATCACAATGTGTGACTTGTAAATTTAAATTGAATTGCGGGGTATGCTTCTTAAATCGGAACAATATGAATAGCAAATGACACAAAACGCATAAACTAACAAGACGTAAATCACAATGTGTGATACATAAATCACTTTTATGTGAATTCTGTTGCGTGATTATGTAATAATTTTCATGTGAAGAGTGATAATTATGATGTAAATTCCAATTTGTGATTCGAAAGGTGCTTAATCTAGAACAGCTATGTGTGATTCTTAAATCATTTTGATGAGAATTGCGAGTGGTTATTCTTAAATCTCTCTTTTGTGAATCCCAATGTGTGATTTGTAAACTACTAGAATAAGAATTGTGAGGCATTATTCAGAAATAACTTTAATTGAAATCATGATGTGTGATTTATAAAATACCTTAATACGAATCCTGATGAGTAATTTGCAAATCACTTTAGAGCAATATTTGATGTGATTTATTAATCCATATCACTGAAATCGCAATTCGTAGAACATTTTATATGAATTCTAATCCGCAAATCAAAAATCAGCTTAATGTGAATCACGATGTTTATTCATAATCAATGAAACCCGTGGAACTAATATTTATTTATTTGCAGGAAAAACTAAATGTAAAAATATGATTATAAATTATAAAAAAATTAATTATCCTTCGCACATAAATTAAAAGAACAAATAGGATAACAATATTAACATGCCATAATAATGAAGTTAACACATTGAACATATTTCTAAATCGATTAAACACTATATATCATTCGAAAACTATGTCTAAAACCTAAAATTTGCTAGAAATTTCAGCTTTTAAAACATTAGAGAGAAGAACAATAAAATAATCTGGTGTGAAAAATCTAGGAGAGAAAAGTTTTGCATCTTCTTTAACCCCTTTTCACTTCAAGCATTAAAAATTGCATCTATCAGAATTTCTATAATCTTCCTTTGAATTTATTTATTTTTACTGCTTTTTTGTAAGAAATATTACTATTATTTTAAATCCTAAAAAATCAAGTACTTTTCAAGTACCCTATGGCAGAATTCAAGAACTTTTCAGGGCCCTGATTTTTTTTCTAACTAAATTCAAAGACTTTCAAGGTTTTTCAAGTACCGTGGGAACCCTGAAACTCTGTTACATTAAAATGATATTCTATTGAAATATATATGTAGCCTAGCCTAAAAAAAATGAACCTATGGTGAAAAAAGTAATTGTGTTTGGAGACAGGAGAGTTACATTGCTGACTAGATTTGACTGTATAGCCACTGATTAGTCAGTGCCTTTAAATAGCTTTCTATGCAATAAATAAATAAATAAAAAATCCTTAAATATTTTTTAAGATTAAAATATAAATAAAAAGCTGTCCTGTGTTTTTACAGAAGAATATTGTGATGTCAGAAGAAACTTTTTTCAGACTTTTGTACCAATTTATTTGCATTAATTAGACTTTAATTACCTAAGTCGATTCCTAAAATTAAACTCAATTATTAATATTAAAATAAGCTTTTTTAAAATAAGGTACTTATCCCTGCCCTCTCTTTACAAAAAAAAAAGCTTCAAATTTTGCTGTAATTTTGATAATGAGTAAAAGAATTAATTAGTGAATTTTTTAACACGAAATAGTATAAGAGGATAATTTAAAAAACGCTGAGGACCAAATTTAGTTATTGCATAATATTACATTACTTTGATAAATTTTAATGGTGGTAAATGAGTGTCCTTTAGTGTAAAGAAGAACCCTGTCCTTTTTTATTCCTAGGGAGAACTCTGGCTACTCCATATCTTAAATATAGCTCAGTGTTATAAACTTCCCACTAGTGTTTAACCTAGGCACCAGGGATGAGAGTAGTCAGAAAGTAAAAAAGAGGAAATCCAAAAAACAAAAAAAAGAAAGAAAAAAAAGAATATATATATATATNCGAGAGACAAAAAAAATCTCATCCCTGTATAAAGGTCAACCAGTTTTATCCCAAGGAAATGATTTTTAGAGAAACTTCAGAGGGAGGAAAAGGGACTTCAACAATTTCCCTCCGCGGAAAATTAAATTCCTCATAAAACATTTTAACTTGGGCAAAAAAAAATTTCAGAGGAAATTAGCGGGAAAAATCTGAAAAAAAGCGGAAATCCGCGGAAGAATCTCATCCCTGCTAGGCACAAACATTATTTAAATGCAAACGTCTTTTTAAACAATGCAAAAGCTTTTATAGTTCAATTTTCCTTAGAGTTGAAAGGGAAAAAGTGAAAATGTTTTGAAAATGGAAAAATAGATCTAAGGATTAAACTTTAAATAAATAGCTTTACCGAAATAAAATAGTGGACAAATTCCAATTAAGAAAATAGCAATAAGCAGATTTCAGTATTTACACTGTAACTTTGGAACTTTTATATTTAGCATTTAATTACTCAGAATACAACGGGTCATAACATATCCCCCCCCCCAATTTTAAACTCTGCTAAGGAAAACCCTCTATACCTTAAGTTCACAAACTTAAAGGAAATATAGTTTGTCTATGGTAAGAGCTCCCTCTGCCACAAAGTCTGAGGTCGTCTGCTGCCACAGAAACAATAATAGCACATTTCAGGGAGGCTAGCTTCACTTCACTCTAGGGCTAACACAATAGATCGAAGAAAAAGATTCCCTTTTTTCTCGCCTACTCGAGATAAAACCTGTCCTAAACAATGACCTACTTGAAATAGTTAAACCTTGTTACTATAGTCACCACCATGAGCCTAGATGAATGGCTAGGGGAGTTCTAGACACACTATATATATCTTTCTAATATTCATCTCAAATTTGTATACAAATATTGAATTGAAAAATTTCAGTAAAAAAATTTAAATCCATACAAGTTGGTCAATCAATTTCAAAACCTATTCGGAGAGAAGAAAAAAGTTTTTTTTTTTTAAAAAAATAGCACAAAGGGAGATAATAAGGGACTTACAGAGAAATCTGTTTTCGGAGGGAGTCTTTTCTGCTCCATTAACATGATGTCTTCTAAAGCTTTGTAGTACAAGTTTTCAGCCAATGACAACCTTTTCTTTGCAAAATCAATGTGAGAGCCTGGGTGATCTTCAGATGGCTGAAACACACAAAATGTTCATCAAAAATAAAATAAATTTTACATAGTCCGTGAGCCAAATTAAAAACACTCTAAGATTCTATCTTAATTATCATACTATACAGTATTGTTTTGACGAGGTTTGCACTTGTTTACGTTAGTGTATCAATAGGTGAAATTAGACAGGTAGATAATATAAATTCGACCCTATATTATATAAATATTGAATATCTATTACATAAATTATTATATTAGTATATAATAATTAGATCAAACTATAAGAAGCACTGTAGTGTTTTATTAATGACAAGATTTGCACGAGTTTATCGGCTTTAATATTTAAACATGTAATGGATTTTTATATGCTTCCTACTTGTATTTAACGTATTGCATTACAATGTTAACCAATGGAGACACGAACGTAAACAACTGCAAACCGGTTTCAGCCGCAAAAAAACAATAAAGCTGTAGAGTATCACCTGATAATTAAGATGTTACACTGAATATTAGAGTGTGTCTAATAATTTGGACAGGGATTGTTTGGGCAAAATTTATCGACACATATCAAAGTTGGTTTTTTGACAGCATAAAACCTGGTTTAAAGCGTCAAAAACTTATTACGAAAGCAAAAATTAGATAATCGTGAAATAAGTAAGAAAAGAGTATTTTTATGGAATAAAACTTAAAACAAATAAACTAAATTTACAATAGTTAATAACTATTTAACATTATCTTTATAAAGCGTTTTAAACAGAATTTAATTGATATGAAATAATTTAAAATTGGTTTTAGTTGACATTTAATAAAAAAAAGAGTTTGAAGAAAATACAAATGTTGAAATTAAAATAAGACCAAAATCTTCCTGCAAACACTATTATTACAAAATTTGATAATTACCGAATTCTCTAAAATATATATATATGTTTACTTGTGCATAACATGTGCAAAAGGTTTCTCCCATTTCCTTCACTCTGTCACTTATTCTTGTTTCAGGGTTGTTGTTGCATTCTCTGGAATAAAATACAAGACATTATCACACACGTGACACTCACAGAGTACAAAGCATTCACTATATCCAAAAATACCTCAATTTTTTACTATTAGCTAACAACTGTTATATAGGGTTCCCACTCTTTTAACAAACAGGGGTGATTGTGAGCCCAACTAAAAAATCCTGAAAATCTCTAGAGTAAAAGCATTAATGACGCATTTAAAAAAAAATTATTGTCTTTAAAAATTTAAATCATTGATATTTTCATAACATGAAATTCCAAATAAATTATATGCAGCATAATTTAAATTTAAAATTTTGAATAAGCTTATTTTCATCTCTAATCACATTTATTATTCTACCAGAAAAAATATTTACAAATGAAAGAGATGCCAATTATAAATTCTAGTTCCGATATTTTTAAATAAAGTATGCAAGAATTTTTATACATAAATGCGATCAATGATTTCTTGAAACTTCTGGACCTTGGATTTTCGGATAACGGTTAGCGAAAAATCCGGAAATCCGGACTTCTTCCGGAGCACAATCACCTCTGAACAAAGCAAAAATTAAGCACTTTAAAAGGACTTTTTTTTGTTGAAAAAATTTAAATACTTTTTTGAAAAATTAAGGACTTTAAAAATTGAATGATTGTTTATCATTGAATATACATTTTTGCAACCAGTGACAGTGCACATTATTTACCTTTCTAAATAAAAATCAATAGATAAAAACAAAATAATAAATTGTAAGCACTGATATAACTGTATTAATTAACAGATATTAACAGGACTCGCCAAAGAAGCATTAGGCAATTTTTACAAACTCTAGTCGTTTTAAAAAATAAAAAAAAACATTTTCAGATTGTTAAAAGTTAACATTATTGAGATTGTGAAACTAAAGGTATGAAACTAATCTGTATTTCATGTTCAATGATTTCATTGAAATTGAATTGTAAAACGAAGAGCAGAAATTAAGATTTGCAATTTTTTTTTCATGTATATTAAAAAAAAGAGTAAAAAAAGAAATTTGNGTTAAAAGTTAACATCATTGAGATTGTAAAACTAAAGGTATGAAACTAATCTGTATTCCATGTTCAATGATTTCATTGAAATTGAATTGTAAAACTAAATGCAGAAATTAAGATTTGCAATTTTTTTTCATGTATATTAAAAAAAAAGAGTAAAAAAAGAAATTTGCCAAAAACATTGAAAAAATTATTACAACTACTTTTTATATTTTGTTACTAGACCAACAAATGTGTTATATTTACTTTAGGATGAACTTTAACAAAATTATTTCCAGTCAGACCTGTTATTAGGAATTAACTTTACATGATGTTACTAAACATTGAGGCAAAAAACAAGAACTAATTTTAAAGCAACCAAAAATTGAACAAAAATTAAAAACAGTACATTACGTTGCAATGTTAACTGAATAAAAAAATTATTATTAAAATTTAAAGATCTTTTGGTAACGTAGATTTAAATTTTTATGTAACAATCTGCTTATCCTTAAGATATAAAAATAATAGCATAACAATATAAAACTTAAAAATTTACATTGCAACAAAACAAATTATAAATAGTTACCAAATATTTAACTTTCTTGTTAGAAGCAAATCATGCTTTCTTATTTAGTACTCGTAAAAAAAAAATTAAGCATTTTTGAAAGAAAAGAAAAAAAAAAAACCCTTGAGGTCTTCATCAAAAACCAATAAACCCCAGGTTTTGGTGAAAAACATAGATGGGCTGGGATTTTTCAAACCCTGTTGTTTCTTACAGATATATTTAATTTTTAGTGCAATAATGAATTTTAAATTTTTTTTATGTTTTCTATAAATTTACAGTAACTTATTACACATTGAAATATTATACAAATTTATTTAATTCCTCAAGATTTTAGGAAATAGTTTTCGTTAAGAACTCTAGTTAAATTTTTTTTCTCTTTCTGATACTTCTTTCATTAGCATTTTACTTTAATTCCTATAAGCAAATGCGTTACCAGTAGAACTGAATTTCCTGAATTCTGCCAATTTTGAAGGTTAGTGTGCGTCTTCTACTTAGGTACCTTAAATCTGCCCACCCCCCAAAAAAGGACTGTGCAGTATCCCCCTTGTTCACATAATTCTTTTCTTTTAGGATGCTTCACTCTCCTCATAGAGTATCATTCTAGCCAAAAGGTGGAATATATTAATGAAAGGACATGCCTTTCTTCCCTTGCCTTTAGCCCCCCCCCCCACATTAATTTTTGTCTCTCTAAAATGCTTTACCCTTGATGCATGGTCTAATTCTAAGTGATAAAAGAACGACATTTTGCTTTTAAAAATTTAACAGAAAAATTGTTCTGATCAACTATAGTGTTGCTAAAAAATTAAGGACTTTCAAAGACCTTCTTACTAAAATTACTTACTTTTAAGGGCCCTTATTTTCAAAAAAATAAATAAATAAAATATTAATAAGCAATTTTTAAGGACTTTTAAGGACCGTGAGAACCCTGTTATAACAAATGAACCAGAATAACAAGCTTTAACATGCTAAACACCAAAAGCAAAAGGTTAAATAGCTTCAGCTGCTGATAGTTTCAGATAATTTCACAATAATCCCAACTCATATTTAAAATAGAAAAAAACAATGAAATTCCTTAAGTATGTTGCATAAAACTAAATATCTAAAGATAGTTGCTAAAATACTCAGTAAAAAAAAGTTTAAGATACTTCAAAGAAACTAGTGATGCAAATGAATAAATAAAAAAAATTAAAAAAATGTTTACATATTAGGTTTTCCATCAACAATTTCAACTTAGTATAAGCCATTCAAATTTTTCAACTTTTTATTACCTATAAATGGCTGCATATTTCAACATTGAGGCGATTGAAATCAAAAGCTGTTTCAAATGCAAGGTGCGTAGCCGAATCTCTTAACAAAAATAAGCACCTTTTAAGTACTTTTTAAGCACCCAAAAAATATTTCTAAGCACTATATACATTAACAAAATGCAAAATAATTTCCAAAGACTTACGTGATCATGATAAAATAATTAATTTCTGACAAAGAACTCTTTTCTTGATTATATTAGCCACCATAAAAAGATGGAGAGATTTTTCGGCTCGATTTCAGAGAGTGGAAATTGAGAATATCTTGCAAAATGCAGCAGAGTTGCACTCAAGAGTGCTAGAATCTTTTCTAGAATCTAGAGATTTTTCGGTTTGATTTCAGAGGGTGGAAATTGAGAATATTTTGCAAAATGCAGCAGAGTTGTACTCGAGAGTGTGAGAATCTCACCGAACTCAGCTCAGTAGATGCACACGAGAACTTGCAAGTATTTAATTAAACATGCAAAATGTTCAACGCTTTTTTACGGTAAGGATCGACGGTAGGGCATAATGGATTTTGGTTGAATGATTTGCGAAAACGTTGAATAGAACAATGTAAAAAGCAAGATTTTGCATAATACCTTGGCGAAAATCGACATGGTAAAGAAACAAAAATCTCCTTTTCAAAAAATGGAAATTAAGCACTTTTTAAAAACATCTAAGAAAAAAATCGCCTTTAACCCCCTCCTTCTCGCTCTCGTGAAATTTCCAGGCTGGAGTGTTGTGTGGAGTGTTAATGCGACTATAAGAATAAAACTAATAATTATTTTTTTTTGCCCGGAAAACATTTTATTTCTCATTTTACACGCCAGATGGCAGTACCAGGATAGTTTATTATAAACTAGATGTCAGCACTAATGAAATACGTGTATTTGGCAAAATAGGCACTTTTATGACCGTTTTCTTGAAAATTAACGGTTTGTTAAGGGCTTTTAAAAAACAAAAATTGAAAATAAGCACTTTTTAAAAATGCTATGCACCATGTATTACAGTAGAGAACCATTTATCCGGTATCCAGATAACCGGGAAAAATTTTGCTCGGTTTTCCTGCCATTTTAAACTAGAAGGATTGATTATGAAGGAAAAAAAAGTGGAAATTGGACTCATCCTTGAAGTTGAGTAGAGGAAAATGTGAGGAAGGGGAGAATTTTCCCCCCGTTTACCCAGAGAAGCGTCATTTCCTCCATGACCTTGAAGATAGAGAGGAGGCAGGGAAGGAAGGAAGGAATGTTTTATTTTCTCCTTTAGGCCGTCAATCAAACTCAAGGGTGTGGCATGCTGATTTCGTTTTCTGTTTGATTTACGAGGGGGTGGGGAAAATGCATTGCATGCATATCAGTGAACAGAAAATGAAAGTGAAAAATATATTTATCTATTTGACATTGATTAATAAAAATGAAATCCTTTTCTTTTGAATAAATTCTGATTCTTTGGAAGTGCGGTATCATTTGCAAGTTTTTCTTGGTGTGGAATCACATCTGCTGTAATTAAAAATCGTGTTTTTATCAACAAAAAAANAGTGCGGTATCATTTGCAAGTTTTTCTTGGTGTGGAATCACATCTGCTGTAATTAAAAATCTTGTTTTTATCAACAAAAAAATAAAAAATAAAAGGAGAATTGTTTATTAATTTAAACATAGGATTATTTTATGAAGCAGATTGCAGTTTTGTTTTTCTGATTCCAATACGTTTGATTTCTTTTTCTTTTCACAATAAATTTCGCTCTCAATAAATTAATTCTTTTCATTCATAAATTTTATCATTAGTTTTTTTTTTTTAAAATTCCGTTGATCTTGCCTTGGTCTGGGTTTTAATATTTATGCTAGTACCTTTTTCAACTATCGTTTCTGTTCGCTAATTTTCAAGTGTTTTTACTTAGATTAATAAGTTTTCCTTTTATTTTATAGTTTCTCCCCGTATAATTAGGTATGCATGAAATATAATGCATTATTTAATCATTGGTTTTGTTTATATTAGTTAGTTTAGGAATTGTAATTATTTTTAAAAAATAAATATGAGAATTCTGTATTTTTTAAATTTGTTTTTCTTGTCTAAACTTTTCCTTTCTTTTTCTTCTACTTCATGCGCTACACTTTTTCTTTGTAATTTGGGTTTGATAAAACATAGATTAACGACACTATTTGGTCGATCCAGAAAACCTGGAAATTCAGATATCCGGGATAGCGATGGTCCCGAGCACCCCGGATAATTGGTTCTCTACTGTACCTATAAATGGCAGCATGTTTTACCATTGAGGCGATTAAAATCGAGAGATGTTTCAAATGGTTAACAATACATTCGAAATATAAAGCATAAAAATACTCACCTAAAAATTTCCAACAGTGTTTCAGAAGGTGATGGCTTTCGTCCAGCGAGTAGAGTCTGTAAGCGGCTCACACTTTGCGTAGCTGTGGACACTGGCGTGATGTAAGTCGGATCCTTCTCTTTGAGATATTTCCGTCCCGTCAAAGGAGTGGAGGGCAACAGTGTCCGTGTCTAAAATAATTATAAATATCTTAAATTCAGCAATCTGAACTATATACGGGTTATCTGCCAAATTTTAGATTTTCAAATTCATGACTAATTCTAAAAACCTTTCATGACTTAATGAAGTTATTATTTTCGCCGACAAAAACAGTTATACTCTGCATCTTCATATTTATAGATTTTTAATTAAAAAAAAAAAAAGATAAAGAAAGAGTGGAAACAATAAAATAGCCGAAAAAAATACAAAAGCAAGTAATTTTTTTCTTCTTTTTTTCTGCAGAATTATATTTTAAAGATACCTTTCTTGTTCATCCGAAAGGAAAGAAATACTCCCAATTTCTCCTTTCTCATTTCGGAATTAAAAAAAATTTGCCAATCACTGGCTTGCTTCAGCTCGGATTTAAATTGATATAATAAAAAATAAAAAGTAATAAAAAATTTAAAAATCACAGAAGTTTAAAAGATAATTCACTCCAGAAATTATGTTTTTTCTTTTATTTTTTTAAAGTACACCATAAATTTTTTAAAGAACAAGATAAAACATTTTATATTTTAATAAAATATGACTGTGATTGGGGATTTTGTTACAAATTCAGATATTCGGAACACCATGAAATTGGGGGGAGGAGGTAAATTCCATTTTAAAAACTAGATTTTTCGGCAACTTAAAACCATGACTTTCCATGATTTTAAACAAAAAAGTTTAAATCATGACAAATTTTGCTCACTATCGCAATTTATGACTTTCCATGATTTTCCAGGTGGGCAGATACCCTGTATATATAAAAAAGTCTAGGTAGCAAATTTGTAAAAAATCTTCCACCTCAGTATTCTTCTTCTTAATTTCCTTGTTGGCTAAGAAAGAAATATATTTCCTAGTGGACAAAACATATCAATACCAATAATAATAGTCAATAATTTTGGGTATCCACTGAAAAAAAAAATGAACAAAATAGTTGCTTTTAGAAACCTAAAGCATGAAAATAGTTACCGAAAACTACGAAAATAGTTGCCTAAATAAGAACAAAAAATTAATCAAAAATATGACTAAATTTTTCTTAAATGACTTCATTGTCATATATTATGATCCATTTAGTCAAGTTATGTGGCAAATGTGATAGTTTTTATATAAACGTTAGTGTTCTAGCACTGAACTTTTATATCAAAAAATTAGGGTATTTGCCGAAAATTAAATACTTTTAATAACTAGAACTCATTCAAAAAAATACTTTTTCATTAAAAAAAACATACTTCTAAAAAATTAATCCATAATTGATTTAGCAAATATATATTTATACACATATTGTGAAAAGTGATTACTCAAATTCAAAATTCAAGCATTGTAATATGGTATTAAAAATTGGGTTTCATAAAATCGTGCAGAGTTTTGTACCAATAACCGTTGGAAAAGTGATCGAGAAACAAAATAGACTTACAATGGAATATGAGCAAATTGATGATATTTCAATTGCTCATATTCCTTTGTATATGAAATATCATCCCATAGATTGTACTTTAAGTGGTAAACAACATTTTTTTAAACGATGAAAATAAGAAACAAAATTCCCTGTATTTTCCTAATTTCTTAAAAAATAAATTAAAAAAACTGAAACTACTGGTGAAACTTAGAGAAAATAGGTACAGCTCAACACATTCAAAACAAATAATGATATAGTAAATTAAATAGTTCAGTATAGCTGAAATATCATCCTTAAATATCCCATAGATTGCACCATTGAGTGGTCACCATTTTACACAAGACAAAAATAAGAAACAAAATTCCCTGTATTTTCCCAGTTTGCAATGAAAAACTCAAAATTCCCAGTATTTTCCCTGTTACTTTAGGTGATTTTTAAATTCCCTGTATTTTCCAGGTTTTCTCTTTCTCCCTGATAAGTGGCAACCCTGTTTTTGAAGTTATAAAACTAGTTATTGACATAACTCATATTACTTTATACTTAATTTTTTTTTTTTTACAATGAGGATAAAAAAATTTTGTTTTTTATTTATTAATTTTTAAATTTATAGTGCTAAAAAAGTTTCAGTGATAACAAATTTTCCACGAGCAGCTTTTTGTGCATTAGTGTGTACACTATATGATCAAAAGTAGTGGCGGAAGCATAATGGTGTGGGGGTGTTCCTGTGGTAGGAAACATGAACACTCAGATGTATGTGGACAATACTGCACCATATGGCAATATTTCTTGGGAGGCCCATTTCTCTTGCAGCAGGCTACGTCCACATAACGAGGCTTGCACAGACGTGATTTTACGAAATAGGCTTTCTCAGAGCATCGATCCCATAGAACACTTATGGGGCAAATTAGAGCAGAGATTAGGTAGCCCTCACTTCAGCTGTGATGGAAGTCCTATTCAAAAACTGATGCAAAGTCTTAACAGAAGTCTGTCATTGAAGCAAAAGGGGAACCAACATCATATTAATATGTGCCTTAGGACGCACTAATGGCACGTTGGTGCATGAAGGTTCGCCACCCCTGCACTAAGTCCTTACCACCGGGTGGCCGAACACTTTTGGCAAGATAGTGTATTAAGCATGTCTGATTATCACAACAAAAAATACCATTCTTTTCTGTTTAAAATTTTTTTTATCTGAAAATACCTCTTGCATGTGCTGCTGTAAAGTTCCCCTCATTTCTCTTAAGCGCTCAGCAAAAACATCAGAAATACCCGGATGTAAGTAGTTTTGTTTTGCAGGCGTACCGATTTCTTCGTTAGCATTTTCGCCCAGAAAGATTCTTTCGTCAAAATCACCCACATTCAAAACGTATTCTTCGTATTCTTTATTGATAGCTTTACTATAAATGAACAAAAAAAAATTAATACAATGACAGCACGAACAGTTCATGCATGATAAATATGGGCAAATAAAAGGAAAATATGCAAAGTAAATAAATTTTCCTCCATATAATAGTAAAATAATATAGGTGATTTAAAGGAAAACTAAATCTTTAAAAATCACTGGAGCAAAAAAAATTAAGGCAGGAAATAAAATTGAAACCATACCTATTGGGTTCAAAATGAGCTGTATCCAACAATCCCATGTGAGTTTCTGATTTAGCCTTCAAAACCTGAAATCAAAAGAAGTTTTCAAATAAAATGCTTACCTTAATTTCAAATATTATGATAAGAAATATTATATCTCATATAAAAGTTTAAATGAAAAACACCAAAGATTGGTGAAAGTTGTTGTTTATAAAATTATTTACAATGGCAAAGTACTAGGTTTCATAGTGGGGCAAAGAAAAAATTAAGACATTTTTTAAAAACATCAATCTTTAAAACATTTATATAAACCACACTACTTTTAAACTATCTTGAATTGAGTTGAATAAAAAAAAAACTCTTATTGTAAAAGAATAATAAAATATATTACTTTCAGCAAGGAAAGTTTTAGCAGCTCTCAGAGTAATTTTATTAATGGAGCTTTTAACAACTCCTTATGGTTTTAGATCAATATATAGAAAATTTTATAGCATTCTTTCATTAAAAAAAAAAAAAAGTATTAATTAGTTACTTAATGTTCACTCATACCAAATATTCAATCAAAATTTGTAATTTAGCTTAAGACTCATTTAATCAAATATTTTTAAAGTAAGGCTAATATTTTTAAGTAACGAAATTCATATAAAAGTACTCTTTCCACCAATGTCTGATTTAATATATACAACTTTAAAAGAACTATCTAAAATAATTTCTTACACATAAAATGCTTTTTGTATGTAAGAAAATATGCAATAAAAATGCTTGAAATTTGTATAAAAGTACTCTTTTCACCAAGGATTGACTGTACATATAAAACTTAACTAAAAATATTTTTTTTAATACAAAATGCCTCAATACCTTTTTCTCAACTAGCTTCTTTATATATTCTTTCCACCAATGTTCCTTTATAGTTTTAGCCTCACTAGCGATGCCCTGATGCTTGTCACATAAGATTTCAATAATACAGGGAGGATCAAAGGGAACAATGTAATCTTTGCTGCCAAAAGTAGCCGGAAGAGCTAAAGAAGATTATTCAGAAAATTACTTAACTTTTTGGAACGCCAAAAATTATTTATAATATGATTGTAAAACCAATATGTTTATTTTTATTTGAATACCTCAAATAATTAGAACATAATACAGAAAATTGAGCAAAAGAACATGTCTTCAATTAGAGAAATGTTTCAGGGTTCAAATTCAGAAAGAAAAAAAAATTATCTGACTTTTTCAGGTATATTAGGCAAATTTCAAAGAAAATCTAGATTACATTTTATAAACATCATGCGATTTTTCATAAAAAAAAACTTGATTCCTTTATGTGTAATTGCCAAAGGGTAAATTATGTAAGCATAAAAAAATTATAATTGAATGAGAATGGTAACAAGGCAGTTACACTAAAATGTGACTTATAACTGTAATACATACTAGTTATTTAACTCTAATCTTAATAACTGATTATTGTTACTGACAAATCTAAGAGTGGTTATAGTGAATATAGGAATGTTCCAGTTTTTTGTAAAAATGAAATGTTTGACTATTCTTTGCTTTTCAGAGTCAAAATAAAATTCCCCGACAATTCCAGGTTTTTCCCTGACCTGTGGGAGCCTTTTTTTTTTCCTTTCAGAAGATTCAGAAAATAAAGATGACCTTGATGTTAGGGACCACAATCAAATTTCAATTTAAAAATATAATATTGATTTGCCTTAGAAAATAAAAAACTTAGTATCCACAATATTTACAAATTATATCAAATATTCTTGCATGCTATGTCTTTTAAAATGAAATTATATTATAGCAGATTTTCTCAGAGAATAAATGAATTGCAAAACATTTTTACTCAATAGAAACTACTATTATTTATATATCTATATTACATGCATGTGTTACATATACCACTCCATACACAGAATTGCCACTCGTCTGCACTCGTGATTTGTCGAAAGATTACATTCTCACACAGATAGTTGGGGTTAGAAATTTGTCTTCGAAACGATCCTGCCATGCCTATTAAATACCATTAATTCTCCAACAACCCCCTAGACGCAATCACTTCTCCACATAAGGGGATTAAGACGGTCATCATCCTTAAACTTGCCAAAAATAAAATGAAAACAAACAAAATGGTGCACTCCTAAAGACTGGCAATACCTTTGTCGCATCTTTCGAAAAATTGTCATACAAATTTTATTTTAATCTTCTTCAACAAAATATCACGGCTCTGAAGATCAATACCACTATTCCAACTGCTAAAAGCCAATATCACCATTCTGAAGACCACCTTACCTACAACTTTGAGAACAATTAAATTTAAGTGAAGTAAACTCCAAAAATAATAGTTATCTTCAAATCCAGTACAATAAAACTAAGCATGTATCGAAGAAAGAATATTTAACTAATGTCTTCAAAGAATTAGATGGTGACACAATAGCTTGCTTAAGAGAACATTGAAAAATTCATTTCTTGTTTAAGCTTCAAGGAAGGAAAAGGACAATTAACCAAATAAATAATTTAACAAACAATTTAAATAGAAAAAGAAACAATTAACTATAGCACAAACAATAAGTTTGATCAACAATTTCATGCCTGTCTCATTAATTCTGTTTAAACATTTAGAATGCCTGAACCTGAAAATTAATTTTCTCTCTCTTAAACAAGCATTTAAAACCAAAAATGCTCTGCAAGAATTAAAATCAGAGATAGTAATTATTATTCACGATGAAAAAGCTAATGATATTTTACTTTATATTCCAGAAAACAATATCCACAGGAGAAACAAATGAAAAAAAATTAAATAGAAGACGGAATCGAATGATGAAAAGGGTTACTGAAAGCGTGTTTTCACTTCGAGATTCGGTTATTCTAATAAATATCGGATTTTCAGAACTATGAGGAAATCAATTGTTATGACTGCGTAAAAAATATTAGAACAAAAATTTCTGCAGAAAAGAAAACCAAATTTTTTACTTCATTATTTTTCATTATTATCAAATGAGAATAGAAAAATCACAAGCATTTTTTCCCTACTCAGATGCGCGAGAAAGGCATTGAACATAATTCTGAAGAAAAGATAAAATCTTTCAAAAATTTCAGCAGGAAAAAAAAAACTATTCACTTCCCAAAAGAAAAATCTTTCAGCAAGAACTCTGTAACGTTCTGTCGCCATGGGGGCAAGTAACAGCTTTTTTTTTGTATCACCTTACTCACTACACTACTTCTTTTTTAAGTAGTGGACTACACTATAAAAAAAAATAGCCACTACAGTAATTCTGCTAATGTCCAACCACTGATCAATGTTGATAATATGTGAGAGAAAAAAAATCTGAAAATGAAAAAGTAAAATTAAGCACTTTTCACAAACATTTCATGATAAATGCCTTTTTTGGGGCTTTTAAAAATGAGAATAAATAATAAGCACCTTCACATTTAAAAGGTGAAATGCAGCCAAAATTAAACAAAAATAGTTTCTTATCTTTGGGTGGAAAAACAAATTTTTAGGAATTAAATATCGCATATACACAGAAATCCTATTTTAAAAAATAAACTGTAATTAATAAAATTTATGAGAACAGATTTGAGATAATAGATTATGATAATAAATTCTAGGGACTGAAAAAAAGTAACATCTGACTGGATTTCAACAAAAAGTATTAAAAACTGCTGTCATTCACAAAGCTATCAACTGTCACTATTTTTGGAATTGTTTTGAAAAATTAAAATCTCTCTTTTTTTATGCTTCAGAGAAAATTCACAATAGTATTCATTTAAAGCAGAGTTTTAAAGGTTTAGGACAGAATGGATAAATCCACTGTTTAAACCAGGATTTAAACCATCCTGCCTAAAAACCTTTTAATTCAAATTATTGTCACAATTTAAGCAAAAAAAATTTCTTGAAAAATAAAAGGTTGATTTCCAAACAAGAAACAAAATGAAGACAAGTTTTTGTTTCTTTAGAAAAGTTTATTATTATTTTTAATATTGCATTATTTATCCTTATGAAAAAAATAACTTACCCATATTAAAAGCATATTAATTCATATTTAAAAGATTAGATATTAACTTTTGTTGCTCAATGAATTGTGGAGCTTCAAAAGTTATAAATCTTTTCCTATTATATCATATTTCCCTTTAATAAGTTAAAGCAAATTGTATAGAAAGTGTCACATATTTATTAATTTGTTATTATTATGAGAAGAATGGTTACAGATATAGAATTTTTACCTTTTACCCATGTTCAAGGCTTTGGATACTTTAACCCTTTGACATACGAAGACGCCATTTGTTTCTTATGTCAAAACAATAATTAACGTGTTTCAGGCGTCTTCAACAAAGTGATGCCAACTTGCTCCAGTCAGCAAATAAATATTTTAAAGTGGTAGTATATCAATCGTGATTCTTGGTTTAATAAATTCAATTTAGTAGATTTTTTAGCCACCACTATTTCTAAATAATTTTGCAAATATTAGTTTGTAGTTATTTACCGTTTTTTTATAATTATTTTGGCGTGTCAGGAGCAGTTGGCATCAACATTTTGTTACAAGTTGTTGTCTACAGTGCAATCAAAGATCATTTCCAAATCAAGAAATGATATGTCAAGGGTTTAAGACAGTTTCAGTTAATCTAGGACAGTAAAACCCACATGTCCTGTCTAATAACCAGTTTAGGATGTCCAAAATCCCAACCCTGATTTAAAGTTAATTCATAATAATAATTAATAAATCTTTCTTACCTGAAAAATTTGGATTTAAAATGTCTTTTTTGTCAGCGAGCAAAGCATTGCTATACATCAAGTCAACACAGCACAGCAAAAGGTGGAAAGAGTTCACTAAATCTTCAGAGATTGCAGGAAAATTTGCTGTGAAACAAGAATAGTTAATAACAAAATAATATCACAAACTGAGATAACAATCAGATATCTTGAAAATCAGTATTTTATGTTATTTAGTGTTAATATATATCCAAGAAGGATTCCTGGAACTCAAAGAATCTTCTGTAAAAAAGAGCCGCTAGTCCCACCTTTGGATCTAACTATCAATAAAGGTTTCAGCGTTGAGCTCACCCAAGCAGTTTTCAAAAAAGAACAAGACATCTTTATTTTAAGCACCCTGTATACTTAACCCGATTAGGTACACATCTATATTATTTCTAGCCATCTTTTCTCTTTTTACTTTACAATTGGATGTTGCATAACTGCTTTTGATGGTGAGGTGTAGCCCAGTCGCAGTTACATTGTCACCTCAACAGTTTTGATTTAATCTCCTGTGCGTCATAAAATAGTTGAATTAAAATATTTTATTTGAATTTATATTACTTAATTATGACTAAATTTTTTCCTACTTTCATTCTGTGGTCATTACAGTTTTTTTTTTTATTTATTAGAATTTAATTCTAAAATGAATTTTCGTATTGCATGATATGATAAAAAAAAACATTTCTTTTCTTCAATGTTATTGTTCATGTGATAAAAATAGCAATTTTTTTGTAAAAAAAAATTTAGTTTTTTTATTTTTGAATGAATTTTAATAATGGAACACCTTTAATTTACAAATATATTACAAGTTTATTGATAAAAAAAATTGAATGCTAATGTTAAAATAAACATTACTACATTTGCCATTAACATATCTAAATACATGTGCCCTTCCTTAGCCAACCTGCTGTGCAAGTGGCCCTTCGCTCAAAAAGGTTGTACACCCTTACCATAGATTATGCTTTCAGTGGTCACCATTTTTTAAAAGACGAAAAAAAGAAAACCAAATTCCATGTATTTTCTCAGTTCATAAAGAAAAAAAATCCAAATTTCCTGCATTTTCCTGTTATTTTAGGAGATTTTTAAATTCCCTGTATATTCCAGATTTTCCCTGTGGGATGGCAACCCAGCTTTTGTGCAACTGAAATATTTTTTTTTAGAAATTGTAAAATACAAAGAAGTCTTACCCTTAGCTCAAAATAACATTTGCCATTATTTATATCATAATTTTTTAACGAAAAAAATAATAAGAGATAAAAAAATAAAAAAAACACATAAATTTGCAAATCACTGTAAAATTCATTTTTACCTTTAACTTTAACAAACAAAGTCCAACAAAATGAAAAAACTTCAGACGAGGTACAAGGAAGTCTCCTAAAAACAGAAAATTCAAAATTAGATAATTATGAAAAAATGTAACTCTAGAAAAGAATAGTAAAAACTATTTTACCTCTGTTTTCGACTTCTCGTCGGTCGAGGTGGGTCTTTAAAAGGATTTTTGAATATATCACAGTATATAGGTTCAAATTTCTTAAAAATCACTGTCGATACGTTAAAACTTCTTTCCAGTCTGTCTACTTTATCCCGCATCTCTTTTGGCAAGTTAGCCATGTCGGCCCATTTTTTCATCTTACTAAAAAACTGAACTAAGCTAAAAACAAGAAGAGTATTTGCTTTAGTTTGTACAATACAAAATAATTTTAAACATAAAGGCATAAGAGGCTGTAATATAAAAGGCATAAGATAAAAATATTATATTTAAGAAATATAATATTCATCTTAATTATTTTTCATCAAAGTTTACCTTTTAGACACTATTTCTTTTAATAGGCAAAAAAAACACATGATTACTTAAATTATTTTGAGTCTAAACGAGTAATAATGTCCTACACATAGTTATATAGTTTACTGAAAGTTAGAATTTTATTTTAAGTGCCACTTTTAGTCTGTCTAGGTTTTTATGAGAGGTACCTATTTTGTGAAAATTAAAAATTTTATTAAAAAATCAACACAAAAATATGGTTAAGTAAGAAGATATTTTCAAATATTGACACAACAAATAAAAATCAATTATGATTGGTAAATTCTTATATACTTTCTCCCATACATTCAAAAATAATTTTGCTATCATAAAATTTTGAGCTTAGAATTGTATCTAAATTTAAAAATCCATAAAAATCATTGTCAGGGGTCTGTCTAGGTTTTTCTGAGAGATGTTTCAGACAAATTATGTCTAAATTTTCACAAAATAGGTACTATTTTGCACAGTTGGCTTTTCGCCGACAGAAACTGGTTTTTGCCATGCCAGTGGAAGAAACTGGTTATAACTGGTAAAAACTAAAAAAACATCTATATTAGTTCTAGTAATTGCTTAACGACATTTTGTTTAAGTAAACTGAAAATTGTAACTCCATGTAACTGTAACAAACTTTTCAATTCATTGTTTGTAAATATATATTATTTTTGTTTGTAAATATATATTATCCAAAGCATTTGGGATTGAAATTATCATGTGCTCAAGAAGAAAGTGCCAGAATTTTACTTGCCAATATTAACCCAGATTTTGTACCTTATGTCATAGCTTTGCAAAACAAATCGGCCTTATTTTCGGAAACTTATTTTTCCAATCAAGTTTTGACAACTACCCTAGTTGCTACATGGTGGTACGGTTTTAAAAAAAATGCAATAGATGACAGTTTCACAAATCTTGCTTGTTCCTTGATGGCAATGCCTGCTAGTTCTGCTGGACTTGAGAAAATCTTCTCAAATTTCTCGTTCGGGCATAGCAAATTGAGAAATTGTTTAGGTTTAGAAACTGCATCAAAACTTGTCTTTTGTTATAGATTACTTTAGAGTGCAAACAATGTAATATTTGATTTTGAATGGTGATAATTTTGTAAATAAATTGTACTTCGATTAGCATTTAATTGTTTTTTTTTCTCTATGAATTACCCATTGTGTGTCAATCTCAGAGCTTACTTTTATGTCATTTTCTGAATTTCTGCCACAAATGTGGCAGAAAAGGGTTTCTACCTTGCCAGTTTTAACCGGTTTTTACCAGCGGTTTTAACTACATCGGCAGAAACTTGCCAATCTTGCTATTTTGGGAAAATTCAGACATAATTTGTGGAAAATTAAAAATTACATTAAAAAATCAACACAAAAATATGGATTTATCGCTTCTTAAGGGATAAAAAAATAAAATTTTAAGAAAAAGTATTTTGTGAAACAACAGTTTTTTCTTAAGTTGAATTTGTGAAGGTACCGCTAAACGGTAGTAAATTCGGTCTGGACATGCCTCAGATTGTCCTTTGTTAAATTTAAAATTGAATTAAAAAAAACACGCATTTAACAGTAATAGCACTGAAAGTTATTTTCATTATGAGAACTTTCTCGCAAAGTCATATATAAAAAAAAATTTCATAAAAAAATAAAGGTCCGTTAGAATAAATTTAGAACAATGTTCTAATGTTTAGAATAATATTCGAATTTCAACTTCCTGTAAAGTTCAGAGGGCTCTTCGCTTGATTTAAAAAAAAAAAATTTAAAAAAATCTCGCTGTAATGTGGCATAAGCGACTAGTTAGGCTACCACACTGCACTGACCAAACACGTGCTACTGATTCGTATATGCTTAATTAACCCGGGATTTATCGTTTCTTATGGGAAACAAAAACAAAATTAAGAGGCGGGGAATCTTAATTTTCTTTTTCAAAAGAATTTTGTGAAACTACCGAGTATCCCTAAAGTATAATTTGTGAAGGTACCGCTAAACGGGAGTAAATTTTCCCTGGACAGACCCCTGAATATATAAAACAAAGCAAAATTTAAATTTTATTGCACGAACTGTAACTGATAACCTACTACTATAATTAATTTAAAATAATCAACAGAAAGTGTAAAAACAAACCTTAGTTTACAAGATCTTAAAAGTCTAGTTAAAGAAACACAGTTGCCTTCTACATAACTTCCACGTATAACTGTGGGAACAGCACAGGTTCTGCAGGCAACATATAAGGCACAGGCTAACCAATGTAAACTATCACCCTAAAAGAAAACATGACAAAAATATATTTGTCAGGAAAAAAAGGACTTGAAATACAATTGTGACAACAACAAAAAATCAAACGATGAAATCTTGAACAGGGAAAATTGTGACACTAAGAGAAAAAACCTGAAATTTTTTAGTGCAAAAAATCGATATAAATTCATATACCATACATGTTTCGTATTTGACTTAAGTTTTGTAAAAATAAAATTTATAATTACCTGCTAATGATGAATATCACAACTTTATAATAACTAATTTAAGAAAATTTTAAGTTCTTACTTGAATCGCAATGTCGGTTTTTTAAAATCACACAAATTCGAATAAGGCTTTAATGTCGTGATAAGAAATAATCAAAGTTTCATTGAAGCTGTATTTTTTTAAAAAATGGGCGATTAAAGATTAAGTTCTTGACTTTTGTATCTTAGACTCGAAAAAAGGCTTATTCAATGATGTGATATCACATCCTGAGGATATTTCCGTATTGTGATGTGTCCTGTTAACTATAATCACAAGGCACTAAATAAATTTCAACTCGCTAACTAAAAAAAAAATTCCGAAAGGGAGGGGGATCGCTACAAGTTATACTCCGAGTTGGTCTCATTTTATTTTGGACTAGATAACAATATGGAAATTTTCCACACTTACGACGCAAACACATTTCGGTTAAAAAAAGGAAAAGATTATTGTTCCTACTATCATTTCTTATTTTCGGTCAGTTAAAAAAAAAATTTTTTTTCAATTAGTTAATCGCCAGGTGCCAAATAGATTTTAAACTTGCAAATAAAAAAAAAGGTAGATGTTTGCCTGGGGTGGTTACGAGTTACAACTTTTGAGTGGGTCCCCTTCTGTGATGCTTTTTTAAGTTCAGGGGTGATTGTGAGCCAAAGTCAGAATTCTGGAAAATTTCTTGAGTTCTTTAAAAAAAAAAAAAAAAACTGCTTAAATTGGAAAAAATTTAAACAAGTTTTTTTCCCCTTTTCTCAATATTTCTTAGTTGACTTAAAATATATTTAAAATTTTACAGATACCTCTACCATTTACACATACCTATGATGACCTGGACAAGTAATTAAAATTTACAAATGTCTTTCTTTCTTGAGTTTATGATAACTATTAACTGATAAAAAATGAATATTAATCATGAATATAAGCTTATAAAGTATCTCTCTGGATCTCCCTTGTAAACAAATAAAATAAACTGTGTTTTTAAGTTCCACCTTTGAGAATTTGATTTCCGGAAACTTCTGTGATCAATGTTTTTTTTACACGTCTGGACCTTCAATCTCTGAAAAATTCCGGATCACTGTTAGCGAAAAATTAAGATTTTTTCCAGAGCACAATCAGCCCTGCGATTTTATAGATGAAGGTTCACTTTTTTGATGTCTACTCTCCCCCACATTGGTGACTTTCGGAAGTGATGTTAACACGCCTACCTTGACAGAAACACCTACTTCGATTTAAACACGCCTACTTCAATGGATGGCCCACATTGAACAGTTCACTTGCTACTTGTGACTTCAACATTATCTAACGCCTCATGTTATTGCTACACAGTATTGTTCACTCACAATGTCGGCCTGCATACACTCGACTGCTAATGGCAACACAGGAGTAACCATGACAATGAACTTAATACAGCTCTCACGAACAGCGTTGAAATGTACGGTGATGTTAATAGTTGATTCATTGCTAGTTAGTGAGAAGCCAGGAGAGCTGTATTAAGTTCACTGCCACGGTTGCGGATGGAGTGCACGAAGGCAGACGTTGTGCCAGATGTGTGGCCATTGAGATCGATTATATTAGACATTAAACTTCACATTTTCTTGAAAATATGATAATTGGAAAACAACTGAGATGATTGGCATTAAATTTTTCCTTCAAAAATTAAGACGGGTTTTCATTTTTCTGTTATGCTTTATCTGTATTTAATCACTTTTTAAGGGGTGTTTTTAAGAAAGCACTGTGCATTTTTAAATGCGTTTCTTAAGACATTATCTTTTTTAACGAATTAGGGGAAAAAAAATTTCCAGAAAATATTATTTTCAGCAATTAAATCTTTTTAAAAACTGGTAAGTGGAAATCGCACGTAAATTTGGATTCTTTTATAGCAATTATAAAAATCTATAACTTCATTAAAACGAGAGTGAAATTTTTATAATCTCCTCTTTCTCAAATCCCCAGAAGGAAATATTATTAATGACATGATTTTAAATGGAAAATCTCACTCATCAAAATAATTACTCTCTTGAAAAGTTTACAACCATGAATTTATAAATAAAATTAACTACACCCCCGTAACAGGCCTCCTCATTAGTTGATATTTCCATCGGAAACTATCATAAACTTGAGAGAATTTATTAGTAAATGTTCAAAAATGCATCACTTAAGACATCATATCAGTAAATAAATCAGGAAAATAAAGCGTTTCTGAAAATATTTACCTCCAGTGTGTATGTATTATTTATCCTCTGGTATGATTGCCACGCTTCATTTGAGGTTTTTTCATCCATATTCAAATCAGCACATAATTCTTGGAATCTTTCTTTCGCCTCCTGTTCATCAGTGTTAGAAGATTCATTCATTTTTACACAGAAATTAGAGCAGACAATTTTACAAAACAAAACTTAATCCTTACGCCATAGATCAGTATTGGCGGGAAAATTTAGTTACCAGCTGACCCTGAAAATGTATCATTCCGCATATATGTTTCCGATTCATGTAAACAAAACTACATAAATTGAAAAATATAATATAAATACTTAAGAGTACCTTATGTAATGAAAAAAACGCTTTAGTTCATAAAACGGTTTGAATAGTTTAAAATCCTAAATTGTGATTCATTATTTAATAGGTATTCAGAGGTACTATTTATGTGTTTTTCGCAACTCAGTTCAAAAGAGCGGGAACAAAAAATATCAGCTCACGATTAGAAAGAGTCAACTTTTGATGGGCTGTGTTTTCTACCATCGATACCAGAGTGCGCTACACTAGAATAAGCTACAAGCTCTTTACTGCCAATACTTCCGGGTTAAACTTTCGGCTCACAACGTGATCCGAAAGTTTCAACGATCAACGTATTTTGAGACTCTCTTAAATATTTCTAGGATCAAAATTGTGATGACATGTCTTCGGATCATCCTCAGGGATGTTGCCCAGACCGTCGCCAATAGCCCATTGTGCAGCTCTAGTGCGACGTAAATGAACTAGAACTTAAATATTCTTTGTATGCGTGTATTTGCTGTTGTTGTTCATTTACGTCGCACTAGAGCTGCGCAATGGGCTATTGGCGACGGTCCGGGAAACATCCCTGAGGATGATCCGAAGACATGCCATCACAATTTTGATCCTCTGCAGAGGGGATGGCACCCCCTCTTCGGTAGACCGACGACCTGGACGCGAAGTCGAGCACTTTACGATAGAACAGTTTAACGAGGACCAATANATCCCTGAGGATGATCCGAAGACATGCCATCACAATTTTGATCCTCTGCAGAGGGGATGGCACCCCCTCTTCGGTAAACCGACGACCTGGACGCGACGTCGAGCACTTTACGATAGAACAGTTTAACGAGGACCAATACCGCACACCGTCGGTCCCTACCCAGATTGATCCAAGTGGTCACTCACCCGCACACTGACCGCAGCCAGTGATGCTTGACTTCGGTGTTCTGCTGGGAACCGCGTCTTAACGATCAGTCCACTGCGGGAAGCGTGTATTTGCAACTTGATTTTTTATTTGTGTTTAAAAAAAGAATCGTCATTTGAAGAGCAGTCCATTCGATACTTAAAAATTATCATGTGAAGCTTTAAATGGTATCTTTTGTTGTTGTAGTTAATTTAAATGAAGGGAATGACGCCCCCTTCGGTAGTCCGACGACAGTGTTGCCAGATTAGGGGTTTTCCCCCTAAATTTAGGGGGATTTTTTTTATCTTCAGTGGGTATTTTAGGGGAATTGGTTTTTAGGGGTTCGTTTTAGGGTTATTTTGTGAATTTTACTAGTTTCATTTTGGTTACCTTCTAATATCAAATTCTATCACTGAATGTGTGAGATGGTAATATGAAAATCAATATATTAAACCAAAACAAAAAGATTAAGATGAATATAGGAATTCCAAACATATTTTGTTAATACGCAACACCAAATAAATATTATGATTGTCATAACAATTAGTAAATGGCAAGTGCATTAGTATAAATCACATATGCCAAAATTAAGTTATGTATTTTGTTTGTATATAAAAATATTATCATTATAATAACCATTAGGGAATGAAGAAAAGTACCGTAATTAAATCAACTATTTCGTCAATACATAAAACACAAATGATATTATAGATGTAATAACCTTCAGTAAATACATGAACGAATTAGCGAAACAATCTACATTCAAATAAACTACTTTCTCTTCAGATATGCTCCTTTATCTAAAAGTAAGAGGAAATGTTTGTGTACGCACTTGTGTATATTGAATGAAATTTTAAACATATACACGTGAATTGTATGTACGTACAGTGACACAAGCTTATATTGTACGTACATGAATACATGCGTACATTATATGTATACAGATGCATACACACATATAAATAAAAATACATGAATACGTGCGCAGTATATAATTATGTACATGTGGTTACTTTAAATATCGTTGCATGAATAACATTGTTATTAAATAGTATATGCACATGTCAGTACATTCTATGTCATTTGGACGTAGAATGAATACATTATTTGTACAAAACAAAAAACAGACCACCCTGAAAAATGTTTGATCTCTATAATTATTTCCTCTGGTAGGGTATACTATTACCCGCCGGTAATATAATACGTGGTTCAATTAAAATATTATGAATCAATATTAAGGTCTGATATCGGGCCCTGTGTTAATATTGAAAAATGATTTCGAATTTCCTCGTTTCAAAGCTCTTTGAACACGAATTTCCGCATTTTAAAGCGATTGAACAAACTATTTCAGATATACATACATTGTAAACTACAGGGCCACATTGTGTACCCCCTATGAGGTCTTTAATTTTTTATTCTGGCAAGGTACATTATTTCTAGGTAATATAATAAGTGGCTCAATTAAAATATTATAGATAAATATTAAGAGCCGATATCGGGCCGTTTGTTAACATTGAAAACTGTCTTCGAATTTACTTGTTTTAATGCACAATTTTAAATATACATAGTGTACACCCTATGTGGTCTACAATCAGTGTTGCCAGATTAGGGGTTTTCTCCCTAAACTTAGGGGGGATTTTCATCTTCAGTGGGTATTTTAGGGGAATTTGTGTTTAGAGGTTTGCTTTAGGGTTATTTGTGAATTTTACTAGTTTCATTTTGGTAACGTTCAAATATCAAGTTTTAAAACTGAATGTGTGAGATGGTAATATGAAAATCAATATGTTAAACCAAAACAAAAAGATTAAGATTTAATTTTAGAACTTAACCTCTTTGTTGAATGTAGTAAGTTATTACTTAGCTCAATCATACTGTACGTCTGGTGAATTTGAATTCAAATTATATAAAATTTTTGATGTGCGTGGTTTAAAAACAATGCCAAAGGATAAAGAAAAAAAGAAGCATACACAAAAGTACAAGAAAAATTGGGAACACGAAAAGCAGTTTAAAGGTAAATTAATGGTGCAATTGTTCATCATTTTTTTTAATTATCAGCACATTATTAATTTGTTGATAATAAAGTACTAAAAAGTATTAAATCAATGTTTTCTATACATTATTTAACTTTTGCACTATTTTTTAATACTTATACATTAAGTTTAAAATTTTGGGTTTCTTTCTTAAATTTTAGGGGATTTTACAACGCTATCTGGGGGTGAACGGTTATCGGCACATGGCAACAACTGCGCCATGCTTCACATGCCTGCAAATATTTAACTTAAAACACCTCCTCTCGGACAGTAAACAAAATTTATTTTGGCCCATTGTGGGCCCACTAATGGGTCTATTAAAAAATCCTTCGGTACAATTGATCGATACATTGAACTCTAGTTTTGAGCAGAGATTGAAATTTATAGGTTAATATTATTGGGAGTTGCGGGGTGTGTGTGTTCGTGCCTCCGGATATGACTTTTGTCCCTTTTTCAGCTATTATTCGCTCTTTAACACAGAAAAATAATTCTTTTCACATATGGAACACTTTATTCGCTCTAAAATATTGAAAAGAAGTTGAAAAAATAATATAAATTAAAATAAATAAATAAATAAAAATTATCCGAAATTTATCCGTATATTAGCTATTATTCACTATTTCCCAAAGAAATAATAGTTTTTTTTTACATACAGAACACTTGATTCACGTTATAATATCAAGAAATATATAAGAAAAATAATTTTTTTTTTCTTTTTTAATGGCGGGCACTTGGAGCTATTGTCCATTGGCCACAGAAAGTGCCAGAACTGCTAATTCTCTTTTCGTTACCCAGTGGGCACCTGTGGCGAAGCCACGGCGGTGGAACAGCGTCGCCCACGTCACACTACCACAACCCGTTTATAGGGCGGGTCACATTCACACACAAATAAGAACACANATATTCGCATACAATTATAAAATTCCTTTATCTGATTCGAACCCAGAACCTTTCTGATGCAAGGACAGTTCCCTGCCCCCTACACAGACTGGTCGGCAGAAAAATAATATAAAGCAAAGAAAAATTTGAATGTCGACCCTCGCACGGTTTCGAACCCATGGCCCCCGGGACAGCACATCTAACTTGCTACACAGCTTTACCAACTGCGCCATGCTTCACATGCCTGCCCCGCGAATATTTAGCTTAAAAACCTCCGCCCGGTTTGTAAGCAAAACTTATTTTGGTCCATTG